TGTCAATGAGAATTATAAAGATGAAAACTGACAAAGCCATAACAGGACTGAACAAGGTGAACTCTAGCTACCTAAAGGGGGAAAAAGACATGATGATGACACACCCCACAGAATCTGAGAGACATTTCCCACTAGGAGGCACCAAGCATCATCACACAAATCAAGGCTGCAGAAGGGGCTGAGAAACGGACCAACAGTCTGAAGTCAGTGCGCAGCACTCGGACTCAGACCCTAACCCGTGAACCAGTGACTTTCCCAGACCACTGCACACAATCACATCCGCAAAGCTCCAGCATGCAGGCCAGAGCACAGCAACATACAAGGCAGGGCCTGGGCTGACACTGCCCAACAGAGCTTCATCAAATGTCACATATGCTCCCTGTTGGTCCTGTCCCATACAGGAACCACTATCTACCTGTGGCTTACTAAGCATACACACATGATAAAGGCTGCAAAAAAAACTATAGTTTAAATTTTACATCACCACACAAAACTGGTACTATTAAACAGCAAAGTGCTAGGTTAAAACTAGCAAGGTTAAATCCACTCTGGGTCCACCTGTGAGTGGCAGACGCTGTCAGTGAAGTTCACCGCACACAGGAAAAACAGTGGAGGACCTTCTCCGGAGACCTTGCGGGGTCCCAAAGAGACCATCAAGACCATCGGGTGACTGACATTTTGAGGTTCCTTCAGAAAAACAACTGGCTTATACCACAGTGAAGCCCAGTCAGGAATACCTACCCACAACTCATTATCTTCTAACCCAATGGTCAGTGCCTTGCTGATAAATAAGCAAGACTGCACAGCCAAAAGTCAACAGTCATTTAAGGAAAATCTCAACATGGAAAGAATTCTGGAAACATAGAGATCAAAACTGATCTTCAAATAAACCCTAATAACCTCCAATTCTAGAATACATGTAAAGTAAAACAAGAGAAGACTAACAAAAAGGACATAATTAGAATACAAGAACAAGCTCTTGGAAATTAAAATACAGTCAAATAAAACTTCCAAATAAGAGTTAAAAGGTTCAAAAAGACAAATAACACAGGTGCTTGTTAAAAAAAATTACTTTAACCCAGGAAGGCCAACATCCTACTAATAGATATTCTAGAAAGACACAGAACACAGACACAAGAACAACACCAAGCATACAACCATAATATTCTCTTTCCAATCTAACAAATGAGAAAAGGCCCACTAAGGCACATCACTGAAAACGCTCAGAATATAAATGGGGGAAGATCCTTAAAGCCTTCAGAAGTTAAATAAAATGACGCTGATTTCTTCAGCAGCTTCAGCGAAGCCTGAACATAGTGGAATGAGACCCTCAGTTTTGAGAAAGCAATTACTTCTGTATTCAAAATGGACACAAAGAACCATGTTACATGAAGTGTGAGGGCCACCCTCGAGCAGAAAGGATCACACAGAGGAAAGGATGTGACAGGAGACCACAAGAGGACTCTGTTGCGCAGTGGGGTGGACGGTGCTTCAGGAGACTGCTGAGTTATCTGACACACCTGTGGTGAAAGAGACACTGAGAAGCTTTGAGAGATGTGAGCAACCACAGGTATGCAAGGAGGAAGAGGAGACGGTAAGTTCTACAAATTCATAATCATAAATAACATTTGGCATACCAGTGAACACTTTTATGGATATTATAATAGAATTCTAAACAGAAATTCTGAGAGAACGATTAGAAAAAACAAGGGAGAGGCATGAAAGGGTCTTAGTAAATCATCACAGTCAGGATAAAGTTTAAATTAAGAACTCAATAAATAAGACACGCTACATAGACATTATAGTTAACATGTAAATCAGAACCAGAAGCCAGAGCTGAGATTTGCTTGGAACGGAAAGAGCAGCTTTTCTTTCCATGTAGCCTGGGAATTTTACTTTACAGAGATATAGGAATTTTTTTTAAAAATCGTTCTTACAAAGTCCTACCACATTTAGGTAATTTTCAAAACCTAGGCATACCTCCTGTAAGTTCTGGTCTTCCTGAGTCCAAGAATTTAAAACATGTGCCCCGGAGTCACTCACAATGAAATTCACCTAACAGATATCAAAGAGACAATCAGTATTCAACTCTCTGTAAAACACCACCAATTCCTAACACCGGCAGCTATCTGATCCACCATTCTCTAAGCGTGAACTCTGCGGGCAGTCACGATGACAGTTCTGTCACCGCACGGAGATGTCTGGGGGGACGTGGTGAAGGGAGGACACCAGCTAATACCCGAGCAGGAGAATCTCGAGAGCAGCAAGTGCTGTGACAGACGCCTCGGGGCACCAGGCAGGGTCAGGTGGTGGAGGACGGGCTCCCCACATTAGCAGCAACTGAGAGAACTCCAAACTGACTGCTGAACCAGGCACAAAACCAGCCGGGGATAGACAATTCCAAGCAGAGCAAACGGCAGGTGCAAAGGCCTTTAGGTTTAAATGCAAACCCAAAAAGGCCTGAAGAAATAGGTGGAACCCTGAAAGCCATACAAGGCACTGACAGTCAAATGACACACAGTAAAATGAAAATTTAAAATCTGCCACAAGGGATGCAAGTTCAGCCCAGTGGCGCAGTGTTGCCTGCATGCAGGGTTAGGCTGATCCTAGCACCACAGAGCGAAGCCCTGTCAGGTGAGGGGGACTTTTGCTGGGTCCCAGCTCAGGCTGCTGCAAACAAGAGGAGCACTTGCCATCCACTGGCAGCTAGTGCTGAAGCATTTAAAATATGGAAACCTAAAAGCAGCTTTAATATTTGAAATTTCTGTCAAATGTCAGTATCTCTTCTTACTAATTAAAACAACCACAAAAAGAAAAAAGAAAAAAAAAAGACATTTTAGCATTTTGGAACTGGGAAGGTGGCACAGGTCTTTAATCCCATCTGAGAGGCAGAGGAGGAGGTAGACCTCTGAGTCTGAGACCAGCCTGGTCTACGGAGTGAGTTCTAGGGACAGCCAGGGCTATAAAATAATAACCTCTCACCATTCCTTCCAGTTGTCCTCAAAATTCAGGGCCTGTTCCGTACTTACCTCACTGGGCCGTTAACAGGCCAGTGAGTATAGAGTGTAATCACAAACGGAGGGCACTTGGGAACCCGCCTAAAACTCCTAAGTGCTCAGAACACACGAGCCATCATGCTGCAGGCCATAATTAAATACCCACACCACAATAATCAAAGGGGCAGTTAGTTCTGACACATAAGCTACAATTCTACAGCAATGACACCTAACTACTTACACAATCAAATAGTTTTGTTTCTAACACTCACCAGCTTCCTGAAAGGAAATATGTCATACATTATCCTACAGTACTCCATGGAAGACTCCACCGAGCAGGTCCACAGGGACTTAGAGATGGGAGCCAAGGGGATGATCCCTTGGGTCCTGTTCTTCACCAGCATGTCGAACTCGACATGCTGCCTGCAGGACTCCGCCATGTACGGGCAGTGGTCCACGACAAACACGGTTTTGTGAGACTCAGAAAAAATCTTCATCTTGTTTCAGTCTGTAAAAGGGTAAACACACTAGTCAAATGCCGATACACAACACTTAACACTTAGGTGTGTTTTCCTCGATATTTGGTGGTGAGCCTAACTTATGTTGCCAGAATTGTGTTCAACCAAGGGCAAGGGTTACGGTGCCCAGGTCAAGGGATGAGCTACATTGAACTACGCAATCAGTTTTACCAGACAAAACGAGTCCAATAACTTCTTTTTTTTTTCATTTACAAAGTACTTAAAATAGAAATACACCTGCATTTGCCTCCTATTACCTATATATCACAGATCAATTCCTTCAAACACGTTTATACTGATCCTCGCCAGGGGCTCAGGGGAAAAATCCCACAGGGAAAGACCTGACAGCGAAAGGACAACCCAAAACACATACACGTCTCCTAAGGCAAACGCATAACTGGGTCTTTCCAGGGAGCCCAAGCCCTCATCCTCCCCCAGCAACTTGCAACACCGCGCGGTTAATGCACCGGGTTATCTCCAAACAAACGGATGCACGGGATGAAACACTTCTAAAACTTTTCCTTAGGAACACAGAACATATGGTGGCCGCCCCTGCTTCGCCCATGAAAATCTTACAGGACGGACAAACAAACAAACAAAAACAATCGACATTCTACAAGCCCAGGGGAAGCCGAGCAAGAGCGTTCCCGGGAACTGACCACCCCAACGGTCCCGGGGTCGTCTCTGCTGCTGGGGAGCGCAGCGCCCTGCCCGCAGGTGCCTCTGCTCGCACACACACCTGGCTGCAAGGGGGAGGTGGGGGGTGCGGTGTGCGAGCTGCGCGGACCGGGAAGCCCTCGGCGGCGAGGCTCGCTTACCTTCGTGCCTGGCCCTGCAGCGGACGGACGGAGGCCGAGGGAGAAGGCTGGCGAGGGTGGGCGGGGAGTCGGTGCACGGTCGGAGCCCGGAGCCGCCGGCGGAGGACCGGCCTCGCTCTCATCTCCCGGCACACGGGCTTCCGAGACCCTGGGGCGCGCGCATGCGCGCTCGCCGGCGCGCACCCGGGCCCGCGCGTGCGCACCACGCCCTCTCACTCCGCTCCGCCTTCTTCCCTTCCCCTCCGGGCAAGGGGGAGGAGAAAAAAAAAAAGGAGGCGAACCGGAAGAGGGCGGAGCTAATCAAGTGGCGGGGGAAGGGAGAGGAAAAAAAATGCCTTCCACGATTGTCCCCGATCAGCCGTTTGGAAGAATGGCCCGGACGGCCTGAGAAAATCCCCAAAGCAAAGCCCTAGCCACGGCCCGGGCTTAAGCGGACCCGGCTCGGCGGAAGCGGAGCGCGGCCTCTCAGCCTCCCGTCCTCCGCCTTCACGCGACCCTCAGCCGCTCGAAAGACTCGCGAGAGTTGGTGAGCGGCAGAGCGAGAGCCGGCGAGGAGGGGCGGGACTAGGAGGCCCCCGCTGCCAATCAGCGGCCAAGCCACGGCGGCCCCGCCCCACCCTCCCCCGCACATCCCCTATCCCCGTCTGGCGGTAAAGGTCTCGCGAGACTTGTGGCTCGGCGGCCGCCGGGAGCGGAGTTCCGGGCCGGCCGGGAATGGGGACGAGGCGCTCGGGCTGCCCGTGTTAGCTGCAGCTGTGTGCGCCGCGCTGTGCGTCCGCTCGCTGAGCAGGCGCAACGAGGGCGCGGAGACGGCCCCGTGGGCGCCCGGGTCTCGCCTGCCCTCGTCGCTGACGGCTGGGAGGGACGGAAGCACGGCGAGCCGAAGCACACGCGTAGGCGAGCCCCCGAACCGGGCTCCCCTTCATCCCCCTCCGTGCTCCCGCCGAGCCCCTGCCGGGAACTGAGGTACGGGAGTCCGGGGGAGCCCCGAGCCCTCACTCAGGCAGCACAGGACACCCCTTCCGGGTTCGTTGTCTTCCTGGCTCGGCGGTGGCGGGAGGGACCTGTCGCCGTTGGGTTTGCCCCGCCGCCGGACCGGACCTGGACGCGGCCACAGTGCTCAGGGCAAGCCGGGGTGGTTCTGGTCCTGAAGTGCCCTCCCAAGTCCTGCTCCAGGTGGAGGAGCCGGTGTCCTTCAGAGAGCGCCCCGAGTGTGCGCTTGCCACCGGCTTTCAGCGGCGCTGCAGCTCCCCGCTTTCAGAGCGCTGTGTGTGTGTGCACAAGCCTCGGGGTGCAAGTGCATGTGTGTGCACAAGTTTAGGGGGTGTGCACAAGCTTCGGGGTGCGTGTGTGTGCGTGCACAAGTTTAGGGGGTGTGCACAAGCTTCGGGGTGCGCGTGTGTGTGCACAAGCTCAGGGGTGCGAGTGAATGTGTATGCACAAGTTTAGAGGGGTGTGCACAAGCTTAGGGGTGTGTGTGTGCGGGCACAAGCTTAGGGAAGTGTGTGTGTGCTCGAACAAGTTTGGGGGCGTGTGTGTGTGTGTTCATTCCGCGGACCGTCCTTAGCTCCTCCGAGGTTTTCTGCAGAAGACTCATGTTTTTCTGTCAACTGCTTCCATGCCCAGCTACCGTCAATTACCGCCTGACAGAGGTGTCGGCTCCCCCGCTTTCCTTCTGTATGCCGACCCGGATGGGCAGTGCCCGGGCTCCTTCTGTGTTCCGCGCACACTGCACCAGGTTGTTGATTCTTTCACTGTGGTTATTACCGTTACCCTCCCTGCGCCCCAAACCGGTGTTGCCATCGCTGTGAAATGCATTACCTCTCCCGAAACTTTTTCCAGTTCTAATTTAAGCATATTGGTTCGTCAGGGCCTTTTCGGGACTACTTTACGTCATATTTTACCTTTTTAGTGTCACCTTACTGCTGCCCCAAATTCTTTACCATCCACCCGTGCTAGGATGTTGGGTGTTTGCCCAGACGAGCCTCTGCACACCTGGTACATCTATTGGGATACTTGGCTTTCCTGCTGTTTCACCGACTATCAAAACCCATTTCACAGATCATTCTTTTTAGACTCCCGTGAGTGACATTGATAATACAGTGAGCCCCTAGAGCTCTCGACATAGTTTTGCAGTATTTATAAGGATATATTATTTGTTCAATTATTTGTCTTTCCTGACAGCTTGAACTTGAGTCTGGAATCTTGTCTTATTCATCTTTAAAACAAAAGCTAGTTCTGTGTTGGCACATAGCATGCATTATTTGTACATACACATACACATATTTATAATGCAGTCATTCCAAAGAATCTGCTATAAAAGTTCTCAGTCCCTTAAAAATCAGAATATTAAAACCAAAAGGGACCTTTCTATTTTAGGTTATGTGTCCTTAACCCGTTTTAGATATGAGCAGTCCTGTATTCCTAACTTGATATGATGGAGATTGTGTATAACAGCAAATGCATGTGTGTGCACACACACCTCACTTGTCCCACTGATTTTATGTTTGTCAACTAGGATTTGATGTGATACAAATGTTTTTGACAGTGCTCAGCATATGTGCATTCCTGCAAAGACCCACTGACTCTTTGACCTATATGTTAGAAATAAGTGGTTTAGTTTAGGTTACTTTTGGGGGTTGTTGATTTGAACAACACACACACACACACAGAGGCTAGCCACAGTTCTAGAGAGCATGTAAGTTGGTTTTGATCCACCAGTGCTCTTCAATTTCTTTTTTCTTTTTTCTTTTTTTAGACAGGGTTTTTCTGTGGCTTTGGAGGCTGTCCTGGAACTAGCTCTAGTAGATACCAGGCTGGTCTCCAACTCACAGAGATCCTCCTGCCTCTGCCTCCCGAGTGCTGGGATTAAAGGCGTGTGCCACCACTGTCCGGCATTTTTTTTTCAACTTCAAGAATGGTTTTTCTTCATTAAGCTCCAAGTGCACTCATACTCATGGGGTAGAAATTATCTGTGCATTCAAACAGTGTATACATCTGTGCAGGATGCTCATTTTCATGTGTCATTTATTGTGGGATATTTGTACACTGTGTGGAGGGGTATTGCTGTAATTGGTGTGATTTTAAAAAGCTGAACAGCCAATAGGTAAGCAGGAGGCATAGGCGGGACTTATTTGGAGAGAAAGGAAAGAGGAGATGAAAGGAGACACAGAAAGCAAGACGGGTGACAGAACACAGATGAATAGAAATGAGTTAATTTAAGTTATAAGAGCTAGTTAGAAACAAGCCTAAGCCGAGGCCGGGTTCCCATAAATAATAAATCTCTGCTGGTGACCCAAAGAACAATCTAACCACAGTTTATATACATTGTTTTGTATTTGAGATTGAGTCTCTGCATAGTCCTGGCTGGCCTCAAACTCACAGATACCGGCCTGCCTCTGCCTCCCAAGTGCTGGGACTAAAATTGTGCACCACCACTCTGGCTATATACATTCTAGAGCTCTTAAAACGTTTCTCTGAAAGATTTGAAAGACATTTTTACCTTGCTATTTCCATGTGCCAGCTAATATAATATTATCTAACTGCTAACATTAGAGATACCTGTCTGAACAGTAACAAATTTTAAACTAAATTTTTGACACTTAAAATCACATCTGTCATATGTCATACCATGTTTGTGTATCTCCAGCAATCGGATAATTGTTTATAAAAGAAGCAAGAGTTACTTGAATTTCTTTAGATTTTTCTTAACTAAAAGCTAAACATCTGGCCATTGCTGTTGTGGGTAGGTGGTGGTTTCTCCTGAATCACCAACAGGACGTTCTAAACCATCTGTCAGACTCTGACTGCAAATGTCTTAGTGCTGGAGTGGGTGAAAATGAGGCTAACACAGGAAGCAAAAACTCGTCTCTGGAAAGCATGCCCCTGTAATTTGAGCCTCCCTGTATACAGTAGCTTAAATATTATTATGACTGGGTAAGACAAGCACTGAGAAAATAGGTAAATTTGAAAATATTCCTTTTTAAACTGAAGTCTATTTTTTTGCGATTTGTAACAGAGTGTAGAGAACAGTACCTCTCCCACGTTACTTACTAGCTAGAAAGGGAGAGAAAGCACCTTTCAAAAAGGACTGCGAAGCAAACTCATAGCTTCAAGTATTTTGAGGGTTTGCAAACAGGAAGTGAGTACACAGATTTTCAGAAGCTGTGTCACTGTTTTTCTGAAATGTTAATGAAATCAAGTGTTGAGTTGTCTGTTTATAATTTTTTCTGTGGATGGGTTTTTATGCTTCTAAAATGTGAAACTGTAGGTCACTTTCTTAGTCTCTCTATGCATCCTAGAGAACATTTTTACAGTAATTCTCTTTTAAAAGGCCCACCATATCCATTGCTTAGTTTTAATATATACTTAAAATGATTTCTAGGTTTGTGTAGTTATGTGAAAAAAAAGTTTTTAATTGTTCTTCATATGCATCTCCCTTGGCTGACTTGAAATGAAAAGTTTTAAACCTTTTAGAAGCTGCGCCTGTGGAGTTGGGGAATTTGCTCTCCCCACCTCAGGATGCTGAGACAGTGTTTGCATAGCAAGAAGCAAGCAGGGCCTTGGGTCCAGCTCGGCTGTGGAGTTCAGTCCTGGCCCTACCGAGCTGTCACTCAGCTCCTGCTGTTGGGATCCTTGGGGGGTAACACTTGTCCTGTTGTCTGAATGGCAAGATAAGGTGCTGTTCTTCAGGTCCAGAGAGCTGTCGGGTTTTTTTTTTTTGTTTTGGTTTGGTTTTTGTTTTTGGTTTTTCGAGACAGGGTTTCTCTGTGGCTTTGGAGGCTGTCCTGGAACTCACTTGGTAGTCCAGGCTGGTCTCGAACTTACAGAGATCCACCTGCCTCTGCCTCCTGAGTGCTGGGATTAAAGGCGTGTGCCACCAACGCCCATCGAGAGCTGTCGTTTTTAATTAACCCTGACAGCCTGAGTCTGAGCCCTTATGGCTGGGGGGAAAGCCTATTCTAAGTTGTGTTACCTAGCAGTTTGAGTTAGGGTTGTGATGGACATCATCATCATCGTTTTATTTAAGTATTAAAGTCTTTTGACCATTTTTAAAATTAGACTTATTCTTGCTTCATCAGAAGTACGGCTTGGAACATGCTTCCTCAAGACCTAGCTGTCTTCCCACATTGTCTGGCTGTCTGATAGTCATTTTTTTTTCCATCTGGATGAAACCTGGTTTATCAGCAGTCTCTTTATGTTTCATCCTTTGGTATCATGCCTAAAACACTTTGACTATCTCCAGATTACAGAGATTTTTCTTTGCTCTTTTCCCCTTGTAATACTACTATTTTTTCATTTTATATTAAAATTTGTACTCCATTTTGAGAAAGGCTTTCTATAAACCATAGAGCTTTATATAAACCAAGTAAGAATTGTGTGGAGATTACTTTCTGGCATATAGGTGTTTAGTTCTTCCAGTGCCATTTGTTGAAAAAATTCTAACCTCTCCCCCCCCCCCAAAAAAAAGGGAAGAGTGTACACAGGTGTGCGTGTGCCCTGCGGGCCAGAAGAGGGCTTCAGATTGAAGCTTGCGTCAGTGGCACTTGTAGCTGCTTGTCAAGGGCCTCGGTGTCTGAACTGCTGCGCTCATAGCTGAGCAGCCAGCACCACAGCCGCTCAGCCATGCTTCCAGCGCTGCTATTCTTGACTCGCCTTTGCGCCTTGCTGCCTTGTCTTTTGACTTTTATAGCCCAAGCTAGCCCTGACCGCACTATGTAGTTCATGCTAGCCCTAAGCTTGCAGCACCCTCCTGGCTCAGCCTTCTCAGTGCTAGAACTGCAGGAGTGTGAGCGCCACACTCAGCTCCCTTTGCACATTTCCAGAAATGAACCTGTCACTTCCTGTGGGTCCATCTCCGGGCCTCTGTTCTGTCTCGGCACATCGGAGCCATCTTGTCCCTACGATCTATGTGAAACGAGTCTTAAACAGCACACTTTGAAATCTTTGCAAGACAGTTTCGGTGGTTCTAGTTTCCTTGCTTCCTGTAGGAATTAATTATAAAATCAGCTTGTCAGTTTCTAGCTGCATTAGACTGAAACCTTTTGTCTTGATGTATTGAGTCTTTAAATCCTTGAGCACAGTATTTTCTCTACATACTTAGATAATCACTTTGTTTTCTGTTAGTGTTTGTAGTTCCCAGCATATATTTTGGTTATGTCCAAGAATTTCATTCATCTATTATATTTATTATAATGTATATGTAATTATAAATGTAGCTATTTTAAATAGTTCTAGGACCATTATTAGACACTCATTTCTTTTGTTTGTTTCTTTTTTGAGACAGGGTTTCTCTGTGGCTTTGGAGGCTGTCCTGGAACTCACTCTTGTAGACCAGGCTGGCCTGGAACTCACAGAGATCCACCTGCCTCTGCCTCCTGAGTGCTGGGATTAAAGGCATGCGCCACCAACGCCCGGCTCGACACTCATTTCTTCTTGTGACTTTTTGTCATTGGTGGGTTTTGAGGAATTATTCCATTTAATATACATTATGGAATCTTGTGTATGTAACTCTGTTTCCAAGTTGTCATTGCTAGTTTATGGAAGAACAGTTGGTTCTTGTATCCTTTGGGCTTGTACTTGTATCTTATGGACATACTAAAATCATAGGCAGTAGGAATTTCTTATTTTACACTTTTAGTCTTTGAGATTTCATACAATGTATTTTGATTACACTCACCCCCAACTCCTCCCAGATCATCCCCACCCCACTGCCCACCCAAGTCTGTGTTCTCTCTGTATAGCTCACTTGACTCCTGTCTCCTTTTAAACACACTGAGAGAAATCGTTTTTGTTCTTTGGGATTTTCAATGTAGCAACATGGACTACATGTAGTCCATGTTTCCTGTATGTATCCCAGTTGATATTTTCCCGTCCTTATTGCTCTAGTAATTCAACAAGATTGGTATTTGGAGCATCCTTACCTTGTTATGATTTTAGTGAGGAAAGTATAGTCTTTCGTCTTTATATTCATGAGAAATTTTGTTCTATGGTTTATTTTGTTTTTCTCATATTTTCCTTTTATGTGGTTTTGGTGTCAGAGTAATGTTAAGATCTTTTAAATGCTGAATTGCTTTATGAATCTAAAAGTTTTTGTTTTTTCTTCTCTTTCCTCTTATTCTTATTTATGTGTTTGTTTGAGATAGGGTCTCTCTTTGTGGACCAGGCTGGCCTGAAGCTCACAGAGATCCATCTGTCTCTGCTGTGGTGTGCTGAGATTACAGATGTGTACCACCATGCCTCGCATATAAGTGTTCTAATTTCCTTAAAGATATTGCATAACACTGTTCGTCGTGCTTTGTTTTCTGAGATAGGGCCTATATTGACCAGCCTGATCCCTCGATCAAACACTGATTTTACTGTCTCATGTTCTGTTTTGTTTAATAAGTGTGTGTGTGCTCCGGGTGCATGCCTAGTGCCCATGGGTTCACAAAAGGGTGTCATATGCCCTGGGACTAGAGTTGGGGATGGTCGTGAGCCACCCACGAGCAGCAGGGACTGCTGAGCCATGTCTCCAGCCTTGATATATTTTAGGACCTGCCACTGAAGCTTCTCGGTCTGGAGCCTTTTGTGCAGGATATTTTTAATTCAATTTCTTTACTATTTAAACTTGTTAGAAAATAGCTGTAGAAATATGGTTATGTAACTCCAGTGGCTATAATAGTTACTCATTTCTTCTTGTATAGCTTGATGTCATTTGTGGGTTTTGAGAAACTAATCTTGTCTTAGTTAGGTTTCTGTTGCTGTGAAGAGACACCATGACCACAGCAATGCTTATAGAGGAAACATTTAATTGGGGTGGCTCACTTACAGCTTCAGAGGTTCAGTCCGTTACCGTCATGGCAGCGAGCATGACAGCAATGCAGCAGACACAGGCTGGAGCTAGAGCGCTGCCTCTTGACTCAGAGACACAGGAAGTCGACTGACTCACACTGAGAGGAACTTGAGCAAGAGACCTAAAAGCCCGCCCCATAGTGACGCACTTCCTCAAACAAGGCCACACCTCCTAATAGTGCCACTCCCTCTGGGGGCCATTTTCTTTCAAACCACCACAGATGTGTTTAATCTAAATCATCTAATTCATGTTTGGAGTGAAGAGTGGCTCTGCAGTGGTTTCTCGTGGTCTTTAAGGAGTGGGAGTTGAGACTGACCGTGTGACCCAGGTTGGACTCCTCCTCTTGATGCCCCTGCGCAGACTCTTGGGACTGCAGTCACGGCCCCGCCGCCACTGGCTCTTCTCTTGTTCTGAGTGGGTGGCTCAGTCTCTCTGGGTGTCTCTCTGTCCCCCTCCCACACATCCTCTTTGCTTCAGAGAGCCTGCCTTTGGTGTGACTGTGTTTACTTTCTTTTCCTTCTGTTTACTTGGGGTTTACTCTGCTCTTTTCCTACTTTCTCAAAGTTAGAACTTGGATAATTGATGTCAGATCTTAGATTCTAATACCTTTTATGCTATGCTATAAATTCATCTTAACCATTTTATTGAGTTCTTTAAGATTTCTGTTTAGTTATTTTTCAGGGTCTTTGCTCTTGTCCTCCATAATTCTAACTTCATTCAACTTTGTATTTTCTTAGATCCATTGAGCTGTTTGATCTTAATTTTTATTTATGTGTCTATCTGTGTGGGTATGCACACATGCATTGGAGTATCTGCAGAGGCCAGGGAGTATCGGATCCCTGGACCTGGAGTTAAAGGTGGTGTGAGCCGCCCCATGCCCGTCATGGTCCCCCAACCCCCAGCACACTGGGAACTAAACTACAGTCCTCTGCAAGAGCAGCAGACACTGTTAACCACTAAGCTGTCCCTTCAGTCCCAAACCAAGCTTTTTAAAAATTATTTTCCTAAATTCTTTGCTTGTTTATTTTTTTTTGAGGCAGGGTCTCACTGTGTAGTCTGGCTGTCTTGTAACTTACTATGTAGAACACACTGGCCTCGAACTCACGGAGATCCTCCCAGCTTTGCTGGATTCCATATCCAAGCATCGCGCTCGCGCTCTCTCTCTCTGGCTGTCTGGCTGTCTGTCTGTCTGTCTGTCTGTCTCTCTCTCTCTGTTAATCTGTTATTGGGAGGGACCCTTGTTTTTTCCGTTTCCTGTTTTGCTTTGGAGGCAGCACAGCCTGTCAGTTGGCCTCCACTGTGAGACCACGGTGTGGACGTCAGCTGTACTCTCGCGGATGCACGGATCTGCATTCAGTAGATCAATGTTGTTCACCCCCACCTCGCGGGGGAGGGTGGGGGGAAGCTGACGCTCCCTGCCCTGTGGCACCATGCGGCACATGTCCAGTTGTGGTGTCAGCGCGGCTACAGTGCCGCCCCAGCCTGGGCTCTTCAAGGCGCCTCTCTCTCCTGCTGCTGCCCTTGGTGACTTCTTCAGAGTGCAGCCGAACCCGCTGCTTCTGTTCCCTGTTCAGCCGTCTCGGCATCCCCTTAGAGCCTCTTCAAAAACATTGAAAGCCTCCTGTAGTGGCTAAGGGTGTTCTCTGTGGAAGCTGCCGGAACTGAGATGATAATGTCCGTTGACATAAGACGCAGCAGCTCATCCCGGCGGAGGCTGAGGCTGACGGGGTAAAGCACATAAGAGCCAGATGGGCAGTTCACCTGGGGGTGGAGCAGGGGCAGTTCTTACAGTCAGCTTTGCATTTAAGCTCATAGTATCCCAACAGCCAGACACCATATTCCTAACTGCCTTTCTCTCTAAGTACTGAACAGTCTCGGGGAGCTTACGAAGGGTATCTGTGATGATGTGGAACTAAGGCGACTTTAAGCCCTGGTCTTAATTGATTTCCTGGTACTCCTTTAGAAATGAGCTGCACAATTGAGAAGGCACTCGCTGATGCCAAAGCCCTTGTGGAGAGGCTGAGGGACCATGACGACGCCGCAGAGTCTCTCATCGAGCAGACCACGGCCCTCAGCAAGCGAGTGGAAGCGATGAAGCAGGTTTGACTTTTCCTTGCTGGCTTCGTGTAGCAAAGCTGCACTGACTTTGGGTAACCCTGAAATCACGGATGTCGTAGTCAGCGTTCCATTGCTGTGAAAGACACCTGGACCACGGCAACTCTTACTTTAAAAAAAAAAAACATTTAATTGGGGCTTACGTACAGTTTTCAAAAGTCTATTCCATTATCATCACGGCAGGAAGCACGGCTCCACTCAGGCCAGGGTGCTGGAGAAGTAGCTGAGAGTTCTTCCTTCAGATCCACACGTAGCAGGAAGAGAGAGGCTCTGGGCTGGGAACGGCTTTTTGAAACCTGAGATCCTGCCCTCAGTGACAGGACTCCTCCAGTAAAGCCACACCTCCTGACCCTTTCACGTGGCCTCTCCCTGGTGATGCTGGGAACCATTCTTACTCACACTACCCAGTCACAGTCATAATTTCTAGTGAAGCTTTCAGGAAGCCTCACTTGCTGTTTGTTTCACTTTGGACTGGGATATATTATCATGCTTCGGTGACAAGTGCATAGGTTTATTTTAAAACTATGAATTTCATCCCTCTTCTGACACAAAGGCACATCAGAGTTAAATAATTGAAACTGTTAAATCTCAATACATTTGATAAGGACCAGACAACACATTTCACTAATATCAGCACACATTAGATATTTGCTGTGTTATATAATGTTGAGATGTTTACACTTTCCTTTATAAAAGTGCTTGGTGTTATTTAACAACCAAGCACTTGTGGTTGTTTTGGGGTTTTTGTTTGTTTGCTTGGTTGGTTGGTTGGTTGTTTTTGGTTTTTTCGAGACAGGGTTTCTTTGTACCTTTTGAAAAGTCCAGAATCCAGCCAGCTGTTGTGGCGCACACCTTTAATCCCAGCACTTGGGAGGCAGAGGCAGGCAGATCTCTATGAGTTTGGGACCAGCCTGGTCTACATATTGAGTTACAGAACAGCCAGAGCTACATAACAGACAGACTTCATGTCAGACCCGCCCCCGCCGCCGCCCCTTGTGCCGCTAGGAATGGAACCTGAAGCCTTGCTTGTGCTAAGCAAGCTCTAGGCCTGCCAGGGTATTTCTAGCTTCCCGCCCTTCCAACCCTGGAACCACTGAGCTCCTCTCCCAGTGGATTTGCCTGCTCTAGACCTGTAGACACCTCGAGTGAGTAGGACATGAGATACGTGGCTTTTGTGATTGGCCTGTTACCGTGTTTTAAAATTCATCTGGTTTCTAGTGTGTCAGTCTTTTTTTTTTTTAATCCTATTCATTGCCCAGTAATACTGTACTGCAAGAGAACACAGCATGTTCTGTTTCTTCTCTCTTGGGTGGAGGCGGGTACTCAACTCCTCTTTTTTTCCTATAATTAGTATTGGTAGTACAGACGTTTTCTTTTCCTTAGGAAGGAATGTTGGGTCATGTAATGCCTCTGTTTCACTCTTGAGTGGTCTGCTCAAATATTCATGTAGCAGGTAAAAATTTGCAAATATTGACTTCCTGTGTGGTTTTTTTTTTCAATCTTTTCATTAGTATCAGGAAGAAATCCAAGAACTTAATGAAGTTGCAAGACATCGGCCAAGGTCTACACTAGTTATGGGAATCCAGCAAGAAAACAGACAGATCAGAGAATTGCAACAAGAGAACAAAGGCAAGATATATTGTCACGAAAAAGACCCTTAGTCTTCCATTGTGGTACTGGTTTGGGACTAATTAGTACATTCACATATCAGAGAGGGGCTGGAGAGGTGGCTCAGTGGTTAAGAGCTCTTGCTGATCCAAGTTCAGTTCCCAGCACCCACATCAGGCAGCTCCTGACTGGCCGTAATTCTATCTCCAGAGGGTCTGACACACATGCAGGTACTTACACATACACGTGAAATAAAATAGAATCCTTTTTTTTTTAAATGAGGAAGTAGTCAACTAAAGTTCCCTTTTTAATATTTAATCTCATCTTCTGGTCTGTGTGACGAGGTGGTACTCACTGCTGCTTTACCCAGCCCTCTCTGTGAGGTCTGCCCTGCCTGCCATCTTCCCAGCTGCTTCTCCTCCACGTCTGGTTTACACTGTGTTTGTTAGCTTGCAGGAACTGAACTGCACTCCCTCCCGTGTCCCAGAGCTGCTCATGATCTCTGTTGTACTTAGAGACTTTCACTCTAAGCTTCTCAGTCCATCCTTCAACACGAGCGTTAGTCCAAACTCCCCAGAATGAATGTGATCATGATGCCCTTGTTTAAAAGTCCCTGTCCTATTTTAATTTCCTGGTGCAAGGACTGTCAGTCAGCTCCTGGACTCTTCCCTGCCCTCTCCCCACAGTCCTCCCTGCACACCGTTTGCTCTGTCAGCACACGTCAGTCTCTTAACATAGCCTTCACTCTCACGCTCCTTGTTGACGGCTCTTGTTCCTTTAGTGTTCAGTGCGAGAGCACGGGTTCATTGCAGTGCTGCAATTTCATGGAGCTTTCCCCGGGCCAGCCTCATAACTCGAAATGATTTTTAAGAAATAAGTTTTAAATGAACACTAAAAAGCTAATGAGAAATGTCTCAGTGGATCAAGGACACTTGCCACCAAGACTGACAGCCCGGGTTCCATCCTTGGAACCCCTGGTAGAAGATGAAAGTCAATTGCAAATTGTCCTCTAACCTCTGCATGTGCCATGGCGTGTGTATACACACACACACACACATGAAACATAAAACTTTATTTCAATAAAAAGTGAGGGGCTTCTTTGTGGCATGTTTTCCTTTTTAAAATATCCTGTGTGTCAGTATTTTGGTAAATACTACGTGGAAGAGCATAATCTTAACTCATTTGAGTAAAGCACATTGTTCTTGACAGAACTGCGGACATCATTGGAAGAACACCAGTCTGCCTTGGAACTGATAATGAGCAAGTATCGAGAACAAATGTTCAGATTGCTAATGGCCAGCAAAAAAGAGGACCCAGGTATAATAATGAAGTTAAAAGAGCAGCACTCAAAGGTAATCGGTCTAGTCTGTGAATTTGACTTGAAATGGAAATTGGGGGCCACTGGTTAGCCTATGTTCAGAGTTTTTAAACAATGAAATTAATCTACTAAAATTGGTGTGATATGATATATAACCCCCCACATTTTCTTTATTGACAGTGTTTCCTTGTGTAGCCCTGGCTTCTGTCCTGGAACTCAATCTGTAGACCAGGCTGGCCTTGGGCTCTTGATATTTCTGCCTCTGCCTCCTGAGTGCTGGGACTAAAGGCATGTGCCACCATACCCAGAAATACCTCACATTTTTAATTGACATTTTCTTTTGTCATCATTCAATCCCCCACCCCCCAAATTTCTTGTTATATACTGTTTTCTCGTTGGCTTATTCTTCTAACTCCCATTACTCCTTAGTAACAGGGTCTTACTCTGTAGCTCTATCAAGGAACTCACTGTGTAGACCAGGCTAGCTGTCTCTACCTCCCTATTGGTGTCCTTAGTAACTTTAAAATGTGTGTGTGTGTGTGTGTGTGTGTGTGTGTGTGTGTGTGTGTGTGTGTGTGTGTGTGTGTGTGTTCAGTAAAATAAACTATTGTAAAATGAAGTTTCAGTTTAAAATTACTTTGTAAGATTCTCTGCTTTTAAGTAATTTCTCCAGTAAGTCTGTGTAATGCTACCTGTTACACAAACAGGAAATGGAAACTTTTAAAGTCTGTGAGCTGCTGAGTATAGATTGTTTTCCTGAAGAGTTCAGTGTGAATGGTGACAACTTGTTTTCATGAAAACCCGTGGGGTTGAGGACACTGCAAAGCTGACATGGTTAGAGCATTTTTGCAGTCATTGGAGTTGGGGCCACTTAGAAGCAATTGTCAAGACAAGCAGAGCAGTTGTTGCTATTTACATTACACTGAATTTTAACTGCCAGCGAGAAATAAATATTAAACTAGATTGGATGACTGGCTTTGGATAATGGTGAAATAAACTGCTTACAACTAGTACTGTTTCAGAAATAGTGGTAGTTATAAGATACATGTATTTCTCAAATGCTGGCACATAGTTTGGATTCTTTAACACATATCTTCCACATTGGTATCTATTGTATTTTTAATTATTCCGTCAGAATTAAATAACTAATAGTATTCTTTGGGTACCAGTTACACATATTAGAGACTGTAATAGCTACCTCTTGTGTTGATTAGTAAGAGAATAAAGAACTAAAATTGGGTTTAGTGTTATCTATTTATAGTAATCATACCTAAACAAAATGGGAGTCCTTAGGTATTTAACTGTTTTTTGTTTTGTTTTGTTTTTCAAGACAAGGTTTCTCTGTATTGCTTTGGAGGCTGTCCTGGAACTTGCTCTGTAGACCAGGCTGGCCTCAAACTCACAGAGATCCGCCTGCCTCTGCCTCCCGAGTGCTGGGATTAAAGGCGTGTGCCACCAACGCCCGGCTTTTAACTGGTCTTTTGAATATAAAGTCTGTAGTTGATGTTAATATTGGTTACAGAGTATTTCAATGTATATCAAGCCAAGTACCGTGACACATATCTCTTTAATCCCAGTACCTGTAAGATAGAGGGAGAAGGGTCAGGGTTCTAGGCCAGCCTGGCGACATGAAATTCTATTTTAATTCTACCTTCCCTCTCCAAAAAATAAGTAAATTTGTAACTAAGAGGGTTTTTTCTTTTTTTAAGTATAAGAATCACAAGGCCTCTTGTTTTACAGTTTGAAAAACCAAATTTTGAAGTTTTGAAAGAGTGAATACCACCCAAAAAAAGTATGTAGAGTAAGATCTTGCTAGTCCCATATAGTAGTAACTGTGGTAGAGCAAATGTTTTCTGAAGCACATGAGGAGGTAGATAGAGGCAGCGCTCCATGGTAGAGCATGTGCTGAGCATGCCTGAGGCCCTGGGTTCAACCACCTCGCCGCCCCCATAAACAAACCCGTCATCAATGCTGTCCTGTTACAAAGTTAAACACTTCTTAAATAGCCATAACCCTTCCGTTAACATTTGCTGTGTAGATTGAGTTCATCCAAGTGCTGACCCTTGCCTTCCATAAAGTGACTGTTCAGTTATTTGCTATTAATTCTAACTAATACATATTAATGTTTGTGGTTTTGATTTTTCCCAAAAAGGAGACGCTTTGACTCAGTAAATCAAACACTTATTAACACTCTGCATTGGATTAGTTGCTAGGTGCAAGAGCAAGTTTAATGAAGGAATATGTCCCATTGCTGTTAAGCTTGCGATTTAATGGGAGGTACAAAAAACAAGCATTCCTATAATAGAAGGCAGAGTGAGGTAACAATGAGTCATTAGAGTAGGAAGAGCAATTCATGTCCATAAGCAAAGTCTGAAAGAGGGCAGATCATTTAATCCCGCCTTGAATTAACTACAGGAGTGGGAGATGCAGAAGCAGAGAAATGGGATAGAGGTGCAGAAGTGCAGGACTCTAGACTTGGTTAGGCACCAGTGATCCGACGCCTAACCATAGAAATATCTCTGCAGCACACTTGGGAGCATGTGTTCTGCTTGAGGCCATGGTAACACAGAATTTTGCACTCATATAGAGCTTTGTGAGTCCATATTTAAAAATCACTAGAAAATGTAACTCAGTTTCCTCCAAATACTTATTTTTACATCATGATTTTAGCAGATGCCTTTTTGGAAATCTTAAAAAAACAAACATTCCAACAGTTGGCTAACACGCATGAACTAACACTCACTCGGTGTTTAAATTACGGATGATTCCGTGTTAACATAATGGCTCTGTGCTACAGATTGACATGGTACATCGTAGCAACTGCGAAGGAGTCTCCCTTGACGCAACTCGGCACACCCTTGAAGCACCTCAGCATGGACTGGAGAGGCGGCACTTGGAAGCAAATCAGAATGTACACTAAATCACACATCAACTTTGGGGGGGGGTGAGATGGGATCCATTTAAAGAGCTGTTTATTTTGAATTGCCCTTCCAGATTAGATCAGAAAATAAATGAAATCAATCGAAGAACGGTGTGCTTTTCATGGCCATGCTACTGAGTCTAAAACTCCTAAGTTTGTCCGTAATGCCCTGTGTGTCATGCACGTTATAGATTTAGATAGATTTAGAGATGTTTACCAACATCTTTTCTTTTGTTTGCTCTCACTAGATGTCGCTGCAGTTTTTGTTATAAAACAATGCATTTCTAAGCCGGGCGGTGGTGGCACACGCCTTTAATCCCAGCAGAGGCAGGCGGGTCTCTGTGAGTTCGAGGCCGGGCTGGACCAACAGCCTCGAAAACAATACAGAGAAATCCTGTCTCGTAAAAACCAAAAAAACAATGCATTTCTAGACATTAAATATTTTCTTACTCAGGAGGCAGAGGCAGAGAGATCTCTGTGAGTCTGAAGCCAGATGTGCCTATGGCCTGAGTTCCAGGCTAACCAGAGCTGTGCAGTGAGACTCTGTCTAAAAAAAAAGAATAGAGAATAGATTTTCTTGATAGTAATTTTAGCCTGATACGATAAAAGGCTGGTCCATCAAACGTAACTATTTGTAGTTCTTTGGTTTGAGTTCACAAGTGAATGCCTTTGCATAGATAGCATAGCTGTGCACAGTAATGCTTTGTGTGTCTTGAAGAGCTGGGCTGTCGCTGCAGAGTAGAAGTAGTATTACTTACCCGTTGTTAATACATTATTAATAATCATTATTGAAAATAAGTAAATAAGACAGACTTGGACATGGAAAGTTGGCAGGACAGCCCATGGTGACGTGCTCACATTCAGGCTTTAGAGCCATAGTTCCTTCTCTATGCCCCTTAAAATCAGTGTGGTTCCTCCAGCTGCAAAGTAACCGTCCACTGAGCCTAGAAAGCATGCTAAGCGTCAATCAGCAGCCTCTTTTTTTTTTTTCCATTTTAAAGCCTCTGTGTCCCAGTACTGACCAGATGGTACGTTAAGAAAGTTGTTGGTGTTCCAAGTTTTATTGTAGTCATTGAGTTTCTCAGTTCTCTGTGTGTGTCCCCTGTAGCAGAGGGTCTTAGTGGCTGTGGTACCGTAGTGAATGCATTTGCCTTGGCTTTGCTACCACTAATCCAAGGCTGTCTAGTACACCTGCCCGGGTTGTGGCATCTGTGTACGATGTGGAAGGTACGCAGCCACATGTCACCATTAAGTACTAGGAAGTGTCACTCATATATGGAGAGACAGATCACTAATTTTTAACATAGTTTTAATTTCAACTGTACCGCACGAGATACAGCAAATGTTTTTTATGGTGTCTTCTAAAGATTTCTCCATTAAGACAAACGGTTAGGGGTGTAGCCCTGGATTCAGTCCCCAAAACCAAAAACCTATAAGGACCTACATATTTGTTTTTAAGACTGTTAAATGGGGTTAGGGGTGTAGCTCAGTGATGGAGTGCTTGCCTAGTCTAAAGGTGCTGGGTTCAGCTCCCAGAAACACATACATAAAATCACCAAAGACAGGGCTGTTGTTTTCCCTATCTCCTCCAGTGTCTGTTCATTTGGGTATTTTTTTTCATTGAATGTCAAATGTTGCTTTTCTCTTAATGTAGTAAGTTCTGTTGCCAGTAAAGAATGATCAGTAGAGACTGAGAGGATGATTGTGCCCAGGCCTGTGTACTTTCTTAAAATGATCAATAGAAACCATGAGATGATTGTGCCCAGGCCTGTGTGGGTTCTTAAGCCCCTTTGTTCCCATCACTGAGCAAAGCTTGTAAGGTCAGGGAAGAATCTTCAGAGGGATTGTGCTTCTGTTGTCTGGCTTATGCCTGACACGTCACAAAGGGATGAGATAGGGTTTGTAAAACTGATAAACATGGGGGTCTGTAGTGTGTGGGAATTAGTTGTACTTTCATGCAGCCAAAAAACAAACAAACAAACCCCACTTCGTGTTTTAATGCTCCGTAGCAATCTGTTCACTTTGCTCAATAATTTTTATTCCACAAACAATACCCTTCCTGTTCTCGAGGAGGACTGTGTCTAGAAAGACTCTTGGTTGACTTGGGATTGGCTTGCAGGCTTTACCACCATAGAGGAGACTTCAGGAAGACAAAACCTGCATGAGCCAGCGGGTTTCTGTCTCTCCCATCGCTTTGGCCATAGTGCATGCAGCTGTGAGACAGAAAATCTTGGTCATTGTGATGACTGTGGAATGAATAAGTATTCTGCTATACGGTTACGTTGTGATCTGTATCCTTAATTATATTTTTTCTCTTTCTGTTGGGGGGGATTCTCTTAATGTAGTCCCAGCTTTTCTCGAACTGGCTATGTAGACCAAGCTGGCCTCAAACTCAAAGAGATCCTCCTGCCCCTTTAACTCTATTCTTAACACCAGATGTCCACCCAGCTTTGTTTTGATTCCTGTTAGAAGGCAGCATAAGGATGCCACACTTGAGTTATGTGGCAGTGTGGTTCTATCAAAAGAGAATTCAGAACTAAACTGGTAGAGTCTTTCTCTCATTTCTGTGTCTACCCTTTCTTCCAGGAGCTGCAAGCACATGCTGACCAGATCACCGAGATGGCAGCAGTGATGAGAAAAGCCATCGAAATTGATGAACAGCAGGGTTGCAAGGAACAGGAGCGAATATTTCAACTTGAAGTGAGTTTTAACCTCAAATACGGGGTGATGGGGGTGGGGGTGCTTTACATCCCCGAACCACTCAACCAGAGAACATTCCCAATCGTAACACACCCACACTCTTTCTGAGTTGGTGGTAATGATTCCTGAATCTGGTGATAGTATGAAACAGTCCTTTGGGTGGTAAGGCAGGAATCTGGGAAAGTTTATTTTTAAAACAGGCGTGGTGGCGCACACCTTTAATCCCAGCACTTGAGAGGCAGAGGCAGGCAGATCTCCATGAGTTGAGACCAGTTGGTCTATAAAGTCAGTCCCCAGACAGCCAGGGCTACCCAGGGAAACCCTGTCTTGAAAAAGAGAATTTTTAGTTTTGATTCTGTATTGTTTTTGCGTGCGTGTGCATTTCCTTGGTTTCATAATTTGTAAAACCCAGTTCTTTGTGCTAGAGATCATAGTGATATAGAAGAATGTTTTTATAGAGCACAAACAATGCTAGGGGTGGTGCGCCTTTAATTCTATCACTTAGGAGGCAGGGGCAGAAGGGTCAGGAATTTAAGGTCACCCTCAGCCCCCAGTGAGTTTTAGGCCAGCCTGGACTACATGGGGTCCTATCTCAGAAAGACAACAGAGGGGCTAGGGAGGCGGCCCCGAGGGTAATGGCTACTGACTCAGGATCCCCAGCTCCTATGTAAAAGCCAGGCACATGAATAGCCAAACAGTAAGCTCAGGTTCAGTAAGACCCTGTCTCAAAGCATAAAGTGAGTGCAAGAGAGGAGGACTCCACATGTACACACATGGAACACGTAACACACAAAAAGTAAAATTTAAAATGTGTTGCTTGAAATCATGATCAGGAAATTTCTTATGGATGGCCATAAAACCTATTTCTGTCTCTGAGCATATGGTATGCTCCCATTTGTATAATAAGAGTAGGTCAACTTTTTCAGCAAAGGGCCAGAAAGTTAAGACCTTTGATTTCGCAAACTGAACAGTTAATGCTCAGTTTCATTGTGGCTATGCAAAAGCAAGATAGGCAGGACTGTGTTGAGAAAACAACCCCAGGCCAGGCCATTGAGACCTAGAAAGTGAGGCCAGAGACAGCTGTAGAGAATGGGTTATAAAATGATAAAATTGTTTACAATGTCAGATACTCATTTACATTTCTTTTTGAAAAATACCTCAGCTCGTTTTGTTGATCTCACATTTTGCTGAGGGAAAAATGTAATAACTACCACTGAGTGTTGAAATATATCTCAAGGTATTATTCATACAAATTTATAACTAGTATGAGTTTATATGAGCGTTATTCATCTCTAATCTGTTTGCAAAACAAGCTAATTTCTGCCTCTTTACCTATTCTGTCTGCACATATTAAGACTTGCAGCTCTGTGGAGATTGAGTACTGACCCTGTGTCTTTAACGACATTTGAAATCTGGTTTTTGTTTTTGAGAGGCTCACTGTGTAGCCCTGGCTGTCCTAAAACTTGCTATGTACACCAGGAGAGCCTTAGAGATCCCCTGCCTCTGCCTCCCAACTGCGTCACCACACCCAGCTTTGAAGTCTGTTTGGATTAAGGTTAACAGCCTGTAGCATACAGCCTGTACATTTACCCATTTATGTGATCACAGAGTCTGCTTTCCATGCTACACCGGCATACGTCTGGCCTTTAAATATGCTCCTTTTAGAAGTGCCTTGTATACGTCTTTCTGTCTCTGCACATTGGTGCTCACCCATAGGATGTAAGCCATCTTCAGTTTTATTTGTCTCCTTACAGCAAGAAAACAAAGGCTTGAGAGAGATCCTTCAGATAACACGAGAGTCCTTTCTGAACCTTCGGAAGGATGATGCGTCAGAGAGCACATCTTTATCTGCACTAGTGACTAACAGTGACCTGAGTCTGAGGAAGAGCTGAGTTGCTTTCTGCGTGGTCCCTAGGATGGGCCCAGAAGTGAGTGTATGAATGACCATAAAACCCAACTTCAGTCAGCCTTTTTCCCTCTATAGTATGTACAAGTACACTGGCAAAGAGACAGAACAGAAGAATGTATCATCAGTGGTCATAAACTAGATCCCAGCACGTAAAAGACAGGAGAAGCTGAGCCTGAGTGAACCGTGAGCACCCTCACCGTGCTGCTGAGCACCTCAGTTTCAGAAGTGCAGTTGGCTTTCTGGATGACACATGGGTCACCCTGAACACCCCAATAAACATTTGGAAATCCTAAATTATCGCAGCTTTAAATGTTAAGTCTGCTGTTGTATTCTGCATGGAAGACTTTGTTCTAAGTCTTGTCCTTCCTGTTGAGTGTCAGAACAGCTTGTGTACCACAAGGCTTCCTGTTTGTTCAGTCTGTCAGACAGCTCAAGGTTAAAGGTTTTGAGTGTGTTACTCACACTACAAACAGCATATACTCATACTATTTCTAGTTCCCATGACTTCCAGCTAACAGTTATCCATGACTTGCTGGAGTGTATACAGTACCATCTCAGGAAGGAAAGAGAAAGGAGTATTACTTTCTAAGAAAGACAGCCGTATATAGACACATTTAGTAGGTTAAACTACTTTGACAAAAAATGTTTTGGTTCTGGGTTAACAATGAAACTGTCCTCTCTACTTGCTGCTAAGGATAGGAAACTCACTAGTGAACAGTTGACATATTTAGTGTTAACACAAGATGGGTATAGTCCTCTCCAAGTAAATTTGGAATTCCTTTGTTTTTAGTTAAGAAATTACTCTTCAAATACTTAAAAAGTAGATGCGGGACTGGAGAGATGGCTCAGAGGTTAAGAGCACTGACTGCTCTTCCAGAGGTCCTGAGTTCAAGTCCCAGCAACCACATGGTAGCTCACAACCGTCTGTAATGAGATCTGGTGCCCTCTTCTGGCCTGCAGGAATATGCAAGCAGAACACTATATACATAATAAATAAATCTTAAAAAAAAAGTAGATGCATGTTCTAAAAACAAAGTTCTGGGTCTCAGTTCCATTTGGTTCTTATAACCTGTGAGGTTTTCCTTTCAACCTGTGACTCAGAAAAGGGCAGTGACTGAGGAGACCCACAGACATTTTCCTTGGCATTTAAAAACATTGTATTTACAGCCAGGCAGTGGTGACGCACACCTTTGAACCCAGCACTTGGGAGGCAGAGGCAGGAGGATCTTTCAAGGCCAGCCTGGTCTGCAGAGCGAGTTCCAGGGCAGCCAAAGTGGTTATACAGAAAAACCCTGTCTCAAAAACACAAACAAAAATACCATATTTACAGTATGAAAAGCTTTTGAAGGCCACAAGATACAGAAGTGTGCTTTAACACCAATTGAAACCTAATTGTTCTTATTGTGTAGTGATCAGAATAAAAGGATAAAAGATTGTGAAATATGATTAAAATATGCTTGTGTGTCATACATATTAAAATTAGCACAAATAGAAAGTTCTACTTTTGAGTATATCATTTGTTAAATATTGCTTTGCATTGTAATTTGATGTGAAATTTCATGTATTGGCAAAATTCAAAGGACTTCTCACTTGAGAAATTTTCAGTCTTAACTTTGAGGTGAGTGGGGTCACAGGGCTATTAGGAAGGGCCAGTGCCCTAGACGTTAGACAGTTCTCATGCGGAGGCCTTAACGTTTTATACATGAATTTATTTTTAAGATTTTTCTATTGGTTTTTGGAGAGTGCGCCTTAATTTAATGGTAATTTGTTCACGTAGTTTTACCCCAGGCCGGAATTTTAAGAAGACAGGCTGCACTGTTGAGATGAGTCAGAGACAATGCATTGAGCAGCTCTACTGTAAAGTGTTACTTGAGAAGTAATTATTTTTATAAAAAAATTACTTATCCTTTGTCTTCTTGAATATAATTTTAAGGTTGTGAGTATTGAAATACATTTGCCTTGTTTTTAGCAAGTTTTCCCCTCCCCTGCCCCCAAAACAACTTTAAGCTTACACCTCGGAGTGTGTGCTGAAGAGGAGCCCTATTTTAATAAAGACGAGTGCTTAAAACTGGGATGGCCTCAGGGTTAATTTCAAAACAAAGCTTACATTTCTTAAATACAATTTGTTTTTGAAGCTTCTTCTCTTTGCAGGAGGGGTGGGTGGCGGGCACCCTGTGTGCACTGTGTGTCCTCTGTGTGCTCTCTGTCTGCACTGTGTGTGCTCTGTGTGCTCTGTGTATGTGCTGTGTGAGGGAGTTAGAAGGAGAGAGAGAGAGAGAGAGAGAGAGAGAGAGAGAGAGAGAGAGAGAGAGAGAGAGAGAGAGAGAGAGAGAGAGAGAGAGAGAGAGAGATGTGTGTGTGTGTGTGTGTGTGTTCATGCACATGAATGCCTTACTTTGCTGTCAGAGACATTTCAGACTGAAACTGCCCAAAGCCAACCACTTCATGCCCAAACCTATAGTCTTCCCCATCCTTGCGAGGGCAACTGCAGGGTACACAGATGGCGGCATCTCAGACCTCTATCTTGCATTGAATTTGTTAGCAAACCCTGGTGGCTGTACACCCAGAACATACCTGCCAGCCCTCGTCCCAGCCACAGCAGAGAGGATAATAACATGCAACCTCATTCTTGTGTTCTTTTTCCATGTCAGCAAAACAAGTCAACTAGCCCACTTTACAAACGGCCAAAGCCTTCAGTGAGTGCCAGCAGTTACCCTGTGCTCAGGATAGAATGACTAACCCTAAAACTCAGGACACTCTTCTCAAGGAGCATGGGCAGGAAGACTGCCTGGGGGACTTTGAGCAGGAGAGCCAGCTGCTTCGGAGCTGTTCTTGTAGCAGCCAGCACCACATGACAGCTCACAGCTGTCCATAGCTCCAGTTGCACAGCTGTCCAGTTGCAGGCTCCACCACCCTCACAGACATGCATTCAGGCAAAACGCCAATGTACACACATATGTAAGCTGTAACATACCACCCTGGTTTTCCTTCACTTCTGTTAGCCTTAAGCTGAGATTTTAAAACAACTGTATTTTTCAGATTGAATAATTTTGTTTGTAAAAGCACAAACAGGAGCCGGGCGGTGGTGGCACACGCCTTTAATCCCAGAACTCAGGAGGCAGAGGCAGGAGGATCTCTATGAGTTCGAGGCCAGCCTGGTCTAAAAGAGTGAGTTCCAGGACAGCCTCCAAAGCCACAGAGGGAACCCTGTCTCAACTCCCCCTCCCCCAAAAAAAAGCACAAACAGGACCAGTATAAACTTCTCAGACATCACAATAAGGAGGCCTTAAGCATTTTTCAAAATAAGTATTTATTACAAAAATTATACAAATGGAATTGCTAAAAGTTATTATGAAAATTTAAAAATAATTCATAATCTCTCTCCAAGAAAGCAAATTCTGCCTTTTACAGCTCTGACTGGCAGTGTGTTCTGACAGGACAGAGAACTACTCTCCAACATTCCACGGCAACTATAACAGACGTGTGACAGAAGCCGGAGTCCCTATGGTAATTTTTCTTTTCGAAAAACAAGTTCATTGCTGAAGCTAGACAGTAATAACAGAGTAAGAGGTTTTTTTTTTTAAACAAAAAATTTCATTTGGTTCATTTTATTATTTTTTCATTGTTTTATCTTCAAAACATTTTTAAAACCCAAACTGAAATTTCAATAGCTGAAGATTAAAAAACACAATCAGGGAGGCAGCTCAGTAATGAGCATACAACAGCCACAACCAGCTGCACCGTCACTCACAGAAGCCAGCTCACCTGGGGCTCTGAGCGGGAGGTGTGCAGCCCAGGGCGTAAAGGGGGTGAGCGGCCCACCTTACAGAACCCAGGCGGCCTTCAGGAGCAGCTCCATTCTAGTTGGTTCCCCCTGACCTTCAGAGCTCTGGGGCTTGGTAACACACAGCAGTCACTGGGAACAACTCCACAGGGCGCTAACAGCTGCTTCATGAAGAACAAAGGTTTCATGTCCCTAGTGACCTGTCCTGATAAAACAGTCCACTCACCACCTAATGCAACTCAAGAGAAAGGTCAGCAGGGACACTGCCCAAACGAACGGATGAAAGAAAACAGGTCACCATTTCGGCTAGAACTTACCCATATCAGAGTTCTATTATCTTTAATAGACTGAGCTATTTCAATTACAGAAATAATTTATTTAAATCACCACTTTACGCCTAAGAAGCAAAGCAACATGGGATTTATATGTTAACTTATTTTAGGATTTTTTTTAAATAAATTGTTTAAATATTGAAAGAAATGAAGGGTTCTGATTTAAAATATGAGATGCAGGCAAGTACTCAGACTGCTTTAATGAAAAGGAAGAGTTACTTTCCTCTTAATCTTAACATTCAAGGGCAAGGAATCAAATCCCTAACCCTATACACACAAAGCAAGTTCCCTCTGCCAGCCTCCCCCTCCAGAGGTTCAGACTCAGTCAAAACTGTCCAAGGACGTGTAAGAAAAAATACCAGGGTTTAAGGAGAACTGACACTTTTATTGTGTATTGTATAAAACACATCAATCGTATTTATAAACAAAGGAAACTTCTACAGACTGGATAGTGAAGCAAAGCATCTACAACCAGCCGTCGGGTGATTTTTCTGTCACCTCGGATCCTCCTCACATCGGCAGGGCGTCACCCTATCGCTGACCACAGCTGATCCCACTCTGGACCTGGGACGGCTGGGCAGTCTAGATGAGAACGCCAGGGTGAGGCACACTGACCACGCCCTCGGCCTTCTACAGAAGCAGGGGCGTCCGCTCTCCAGCCGGCTGTTCCTTCTGAAAGAGCGCTCCGATCTGAGTCAATCGGCCAAACAGCCTCTCTCTCAGGGGAGGGATATGGTGGCTGGGGTCCAGAATGTTCGTCACTCTTCTTTCTCTCTCTTGCTTCCACAGCTTGTAGGGATGGGGCGGGAAAGGCGGCTGTCCCCTTTCTCTTCGAATCTGCAGGGTAATTCCACTGACAGCCAGCATCCCCCACATGGCCAGGACGAGGAAGTCTGAGGGAAAGAAGGGCCTTGTACTCAGGGGTTTTGTGTGGTGCCTTGTTTTGTTTTGGATACAATGTCTCAATCTACAGCTCAGACCATACTTAAACTTTGGCAATCCCCCTGAAATCCAAGATTATAGACATAAGCCACCAAGTCCAGATATTTTTTTTAATTGTACTTGAGAAAAAAAAAATTGTAGTCAGGCAGTAGTAGCACACGCCTTTTAATTCCAGAGCTCTGGAGGCAGAGGCAGGGGGATCTCTGTGAGTCTGAGGCCAGCCTGATCTACAGAGTGAATTCCAGGACGGCCAGGGTTACACAATGAAACCCTGTCTTAAAATGGTATACGCAGATTCACGTGTGTTCAAGCCCGAGCGGGTGGTAGGTGTCTTTATTGCCCAATACCTGTTTGGACAGCCTCTCCCATTACACCTGATCTGACTGAACAAGCCCCACCCACTGGAGTCACAGATGCACACGCTCCTGCTTGGCTTTTTATGTGGGTTCCAGGGATCCGAGCTCAGGCGCTCAACATGTGCAGCAAGCACTTGGTACCCACCGGGCCACCTCCCCAGCCCCAAATTCTTCTCTTCCCTGCCTCCTTTCCTCGTTCCCTTTCTCGTTCTCCTCCCTCACCCTTTTAATTCCTTTTTCCTTTTTTAAGATGGAGTCTTAATTCTGTAGCCTGAATTAGAACTCAATGTGAGCCTATGCTAGCCTCAAATTCATGGCAATCCTCCTGCCTCAGCTCCTAAATGCTGGGAGTGCAGCTGTGTACCGCACCTGGCTCTGAACTGGCCAACATTAAATGTGCAGCAGCACCACCCTTCACAGGCTAAATCCATGCCTTCCTTTCCATGTGGGACTTGTGTCTAAACACGCATTTCCGCACTCACAAGCCGGGAGGAGATACCACAGACTTGCTTCTCAAGTAGGACTTCTGCTACAGGCATCCAGAAAGTTGACGCAGGTGGTAAAAAGTCAGCTGTGTCTCCCCCTGGAGCTCCGTCCCTACATGTGTGTGCGGTACCCACGGGCATGGCTGCCCTAGTCACCTCCACATACTGGTTCACTCCCAGCGGGAAGACTGCTCACACGGGGAACACGGGATGACGTGAGATGACACCCCAGATTCCACTGAGCATCTAGCAAAAATGTGGCAATGGGAATGCCGTCGCTGGTGCTGGGTGCACTTTCCAATGTGGCCGCCTTGGGATCGAACCACACTCTTGAGGACCACGCCCTTCCCCCAAGATCTATAATTCAACTCAAAAAACTCACTGCTTCTCCCCAGGGCAACTCTGGTGGACTCGACCTTGTGGTGGAGACCTCAGAAGAGAAGGGTAAAGAACCTTCACCCCAGAGAGGAAATTCTCTGAACACAAGGTCTCCACGTCTGACCTCTCCCCCAAAAGGGAAGATCTGGATTATCACTAAGTAGAGGCAAAGATTTGCCCCGAAAACTTGATGGCCAGAGTTGTGCCGTTCTAAGTCCCGGCTCTGAGACATGCTTTTCTGACCTGTCTTTGAACTTTTCTGAAATCAACAAAGCTTGAAAAACTCTGTGAATGTGTAGTGCACCACCTGTTCTCTTCAAAAGCTTACCAAAGGCCACTGTGTATTGGGGTTCACCCCTGTCATCTCTAGGAGACTTGAGGCAGGAGAATCACTTGAGTTTGAGGCTAGCCTCGGCTACAGAGTGAGACCCTGTCTCAGAGACAAGATAGAAAATCAGGAATGGACAAAGTCTTCTAACTAAGGCAACAACATGCTCACTAACTGAAAATAAACCGAATCTCCATTAAAGTAAGGAGACAAAGGAATACATTCTGAATTAGACTAGAGTACCTTTCTCATTCCTTACCTGCCCCTCCCATGGGGGCAGCTTCCTGGCCTGAGGATGAACAGGGAAGCCCACCGAGTCCGCTGAGATGCCTGAAGGAGACATCTTTGCTAATTGGCAGTCCCTCTCACAGCATCTGTATTATGTTCCACCTCTCGGCCCCTCGCGATGCCTACATGCTCCCGGTAGGGTGGGTTAGTGGGCACGCCTATCTGAACATCACTCTGATTTCTGGACTCAGAGTCTTACCTTTAGTCTGGAAAGGCACTCCGACGAAAGCCCCTCGGAAGTCTGTGTTGAGCGCTCTCCTGAGGACATTCAGAGTGATGTAGGAGAGGCTGGTGAAGACATAACTGTCAACAGCCAGCACCACGGAGTAGGAGCCCACGACTCCACACGCCAGGATGTTCAGCTGTGGGAGAGCAGAGGGACAGGCGTCACACACATCGCAAGACCAGTCCCAGCCCTCACCACCGCCTGGTGTGATGGGAAGGACCCAAGTCTTAGCAATGACAAGGGCTAGTGGGAACACAAGGCAGAAACCACATTTGATGCCCAGATACAGTGTATTTTTTATCATATTCTTTCCTGTCCCCTAACTCCTCCTGGACCCTCCCATCCATCCCCATAGCGGATTCTTACCACACTGTTTGGGCTAGCAAAATAGGGTTGGCTCAGTGGTTCAGAAGGGCACTTGCTGCTCTTGCAGGGGACCTGGCCCCCAGACAGAACTAAAGATCTGACAGCCTCTTCTGGCGTCTATGGGCACCAGACATGCGCTAGGTAAAAAGTTAAACATTGTGCAGTGATACAGCCAATCGCCATTCTGTACGATTCCGCTACATGGTGACTGGCCCTCTAGGTTCATGTCTGAACCATGGCAAAATTGCCTAACAATGTCCTCAGCATGCAGCCCTGCCACTAAGCAACGCACAACTGGACTGTAGAAAATAAAATTCCCCCAAGAGCTTCCACAAAAAAGTCTAATCAAAGGGGCCATTCTGCAGAGGCAGCTGAAGCCTCCGGGCTGCTGCAGTAGGGGAAGGTGGTTGGGAGGTTCTGACACTCAGAGAGACAGGGGCCACACAGATCCCAGACAGGCAGAGCAGTAAGGAAAGGGGCCACAGACAGAAGAAGATGGCACACTGCCTGATTCTTCATCATCTTGGCATGAAACAGGCCAGCGGGCTTCTGTTCCCTGACCACCCCTTCCGACTGGCCAGTCCAGGCTGGTCCACAGCATGCTAGCCTGACGCTACAGGCTACCAGCTCCCTTTCTTTGTTTAAGTTGGCCAGTCCAAGATCAGGGAGGGGAGCCCACCCCAGGCCACCAGAAACAGTTTTCCCTCCAAATTGCTATGGTGTCTGTGGAGTGTGTGTGTGTGTGTGTGTGTGTGTGTGTGTGTGTGTGTGTGTGTGTGTGTGTGTGTGTGTGTGTCTGTGTGTGTGTGCCCTCTATGCTGGTGTGGCGTCTGTGTGTGCAAGCTCTTTCACTTTCAATAAGACTCGCTATGACTGTGACTTCTTTCCTGCCTTTTAATTCTCAAAAGGGTAGAGAAAGCAAACCTAACTTGAGACCCCCAGGTAACAACCCTGAAGAAAAACAAGGACAAACACAGGGGACAATCACAGCACTTCCTCAGCTCAGATAACCACAGGCCCTCCCCTCCCCTCCCTTCCCCTCCCTAGTGAATGGAACTCCTGAAGGATTCCATGAGTGACTCTGGAGGCTGGAAGGGTGTGACGGGGGGCCCAGCTGCACTGCGGCACTCACTATCCTTAGGCAGCCCATGAAGATGACCAGGATGAGCAGGGCTATGCAGGAGAACGTCACCCAGAACACTCCATCGTCACGAAACACTGTTAGATTTCCTGGGAAAGCAGAGAAATCAAGAATAAACAAGATATCCACAAGTTAAATCTCACTGTCTCGGTGTCTGTCCACAAACACAGGGTTTAAAGCGACAGCCAGGGAATGCGCTGGCATCTGACACTCTCCAGTTTTCTTTTAACGGTCGATATAATCCACACACACCCTGTGTGTGTCTGTTTGTAGACAGAGTTTCTCTGTGTAGCCCTGGCTGTCCTGCAACTCAGAGATCTGCCTCCTGCCTCTGTCTCCCCAGTGCGGGGATTAAGGTGTGTGCAGCCTCACCCAGCTGACATAATCTCTTTATGAAGCTGTGCCCTAGAAGGTGTGAGGGGGCCCAGAGGATGACCTGAAGAGGCTGCCATAGTCCCTGCCCTCCAAGTCCTCAGCCCCATGGCTCTGATTCCTACTCCCATAGCAAGAAGACTGGAGTATACTGGGGGGGGGGGAGCTCCTAGTCTCCCCTCCAGCTCCAAGCTTTCATCATCTTCTGCAATGGGGGACGCCACAGACAGCAGTCAGAACTGCCCAGCTGGCTCTCCAGCCCCAATCTGATTTTTGCAGCTGATGGAACTTCAACCTAGAAGGAACCTTGGAGAATCGGCCTCAGTGAGGAACACTTGGGGGCTAGAGATGGCAAAGGGTGGGAACGGAGAGAGGGCTAAGAGAACACTGGACATAGCACCAGGTCCCAAGCTCAGTGCCTGTCAGAGCAGCGCCCTGTTCATCCGAGAGACACACTGGGCGTCTCCCAATGACTCAAGTTACACTCTGAGGGCTTAAATTGTTCTCAAGTAACTGGCTGCATGGCGGCTCACACCTGTAGTCTCAGGGGTCAGGAAGAGGAAACAAAAGGATTACCGTGAGTTGAAGCCAGCCTGGGCTACAAGGAAGACCTTGCATCAACATTTAAAGTAAAATTTAAAAATAAAATCTCTGTTCTGCCCTGTGAGCCCCGTTACCTACCTTATCTATAACAGAAGCTAGGAGGTGGTGGTACACGCCTTTAATCCCAGTACTCGGGAGGCAGAGGCAGGTGGATCTGAGTTTGAGCGAAGTTAGTCTAGTCTACAAGAGCGAGTTCTAGGACGGCCAGGGTTACATAAAGAAACCCTGTCTTTGGAAAAAAAAATACAAAAAACTATTGGGGCTGGTAAGATGGTTCAATGGTAGGCCACTTGACATCAAGTCTGATTATCTGAGTTCAAGCCTTGGAACATACATGGGTATACATGTACTACACACACACACACACACACACACACACCAGCATGAGGGCCAGCATCTCCTACCCAGAGGAGTGAAGAAAGTCCCAGAAGAGACGAGGAAGCCCAGCACAAGGCCAACACACAGCATACAGAGCATGAGGGTCCCAAATCGCCACCATGAGGCCATCAGGAGGACGCCACCGATGCTGCCAGCCACCGCGGTGAGGACCAGGCGCACTGCACAAGGGAGAAGGCACAGGAAGACGGATCAGCAGGCGCCAACCGCATCTTCAGTCTGCATTTCCTTCAAGGCACTGTCACCCCAGGGCTGGGGACAGGTCGGTTTTGTCAGACAGCAAAGGTGACAACCAGTCTTGAATGTGATGCGGCGGAGGGGGTCGGCGGGGGAGGCTGAGGATGTGTTTCCCTGGATGGGTTCCATCCCCAGCACTACGGCAATCTGGAAGGATCAGAAGCTCATGTCATCCTCTGCTACAGAGTGAGTTCTAGGCCAGCTTGAGTTACATCAGACGCAGTCTCAAGGAATAAACGAAGCTGGGGAGAAGAGTGTTTGAGGTATTTTTCCCCCCAGTGAGGCGTGTGAGCTATTCTGGAGCACTGCCCGACTCTGTAGCCCAGGCTGGCCTTAAACACATGCTGCCCCTTCTGCCTCTGCCTGTCACACATACTGGAGTAACAGGAACACACCACACACAGCTCTGGTGGCACTGGGATCTAACCAGCCAGACAAAAGCTTCCCTGCTGAGCCACCCCAGCTTGTGTTTTGTTTGTTTGATTTTTATTTTTTATTTTTTGGTTTTTCGAGACAGGGTTTCTCTGTGGCTTTGGAGGCTGTCCTGGAACTCGCTTGGTAGTCCAGGCTGGTCTCGAACTTACAGAGATCCGCCTGCCTCTGCCTCCCGAGTGCTGGGATTAAAGGCATGCGCCACCAATGCCCGGCTGTTCGTTTGATTTTTGTTACTTTTTGTTTTTTTGTTTTTTTCTGAGACAGGGTTTCTCTGTGGAGCCCTGGCTATCCTAGAACTCACTTTATAGGCCAGGCTGGCCTCAAACTCACAGAGATCCGCCTGCCTCTGCTCCCTGAGTGTTGGGATTTGCCCGGCTTCACCTCTGCTGCACACGGAAAAACGCAGCACTGCGGTGAAGCCTGCTCCAGGCCCAGGCCGCCCATCATCTCATGCCTGGTGCCCGGCACTCCCGGCACAGGTGAAACTGCCGGCGACGTGGTGGGTGTGAGCCCAGCAGCTCCCCCTGCACGCCCTCCCAGCTAAACTGTGTACTCACCATCGTACTTAAGGGACGTCAGTCTGGTGATCAGGATGTAAAAGAAGAACCCCAGGAAGATGAAGCCGATGAAGAATAGCTCTGGGAGGAAACCATCAGGAAATGGGAAGCAAAAGTCCACATCAGGCACCTTCACAACACAGCAGAGGCATCTACAGTACAAGTCTGTGCCCAAGCAGCTAGGCGCCATGGCTATTCCCAGAAGAATTGACGTCTGGAGGGCAGGGACTCGTGAGAGGTCAGGGGAGTGGTTTCGTGATTAAGCGGAGTATGGGACACCCCTAGGCTGCAGCTGCACTTGCAATGGCTTAATGGCAATTTTCCAATTTCATGGTTCATTTACTACGCTTCTCTGTCCTTTGGGGGAAGGGGCTCCTTTACGTAGCCCAGGCTAGCCTCAGACTAGCAGGCTGGCAGAACGAGTGAGGGTCTATGTGGGAAAAGGTACCTGTTTTCCAGAATCTGTGTCCAAAGAAGCAAATGAAGAGCCCGAGCAGGGCAAACGCAGTGGAGAACACTTTGGTAGATACTCTTCCTTAAAAGTGCATACATAAATAATTAAAATTAGCGGGCAAGGGCATCTTCATGCAGGGAAGGAAGGAAGGTGAACTGCCTTGAGGATCATTCATTCTATACAAGATCATTGCTCCTAAAATACTCTTGTTCCCTGAGTGAGTTCATCTAAGGCGAGTACTCCCAATGGCTGCTTTTTGTAACAAGGAGAACCAGGCAACGCACGCTCCCGACTCACACGGTGTTTCTTTAGGAGGAGGGTGCGGCAGAACGTGTGCCTAAAACACGTCTGTATCTTCAACAAATAAACTTCAGGGGGGGAATGCTGAGTGAAGTGACTCGGGTAAGAAAATTCGTAAGACACGTGAACTAAACACAGATCTCACCTACAACCTGACTCAGCCCACTGGGGTGATGCCTGCCTGTCACCCCAGCCCTGGGAAGCTGAGACGGGAGGATCACTGCACATTTAAGGCTAACTGTGCTACATAGTCAGTTCCAAGCCAACCTGAGACAAAGAGTGAGGCCTGTCTCAAAAACAAAAGGGGGGGCTGGAGAGATAACTCAATGGGTAAGAGCATTTGTCAGCTGTATAGGACGTTGATCCAAATCCCAGCACCCCACAGGGTGGCTCACAACCCGCTGTAACTCCAGCACCACAGGGTCCAACGCCCTCTTCTGGCCTATATGGGCACTACACTCACAGAGTGCACAGACCACATGTAAGCAAAGCATCTACATACATAAAAGTAAATATATCACTCTATTGTTTCAAAAAAAACGATAGCCCACCAAATTCACCTTCCTTGGAAACCCTTCAAAATGAGCATAGGGAAATAATCCTTGAATAAGAGCAGATGCAAAACACCTATACACACCGAAAAAGTTACAAGCTGGCCACAAATTAAAATGTATCAGTTGCTTAACAGCAGCCGGTGGAGAGAGCATGAGGGCACGCATTTAAGCAACAAATGATGAACAGTGTGAGACCAGAGTCTGAATTATAGTAGAACAGCTCTGCCTCTCTGAGAACAAGACTGCAGGAACTACTGAGTAAAAGAAAAAAAAATGCATATTCTGCTTCAGGACACGGGTGACTGTCACCAAAATGATGAAGCTGGCAGAGTGTCCTGTCTTGATATTCTTCACATTAAAACCTCGGGGCTGGGGGCCGGGCGTTGGTGGCGCAGGCCTTTAATCCCAGCACTCGGGAGGCAGAGACAGGCGGATCTTTGTGAGTTTGAGACCAGCCTGGTCTATAAGAGCTAGTTCCAGGACAGCCTCCAAAGCTACAGAGAAACCCTGTCTCGAAAATCCAAAAAAAAAAAAAAAAAAAAAAAAAACCCTGGGGGCTGGGAAGGCAACTTAGTTGGCAAAGTGCCTCCCAAGCCCAAGGGCGTGAGTTCGGATCCACAATCACATAAAAAGTTGGGTGTGGCAGTGAAGGACTCCCAGTGCTGGGGTGTGCTGGCCGGCCAGCCTCACCAAACTAGAGAGCTCGGGGTACAGTGAGAGACTGTCCCAAAAGATGAGAGTGACATAGGAGACATTCAACACCAACCTCCGGCCTCCACAAGCACACGCATGTGCACACACACGTGTGCACACTATCTTACTGTCCCATCACTGTGGAGAAGACACCATGAACAAGGCAGCTTACAAAGTAACGCATTCTATTAGGGGCTTGCTCACGGTTTCAGAGCGGGACTCGTGGCGGAAGCAAGGAAGCAGGCAGGCGTGACTCTGGAGCAGAGGCTGAGAGCGTACATCTTATCCAAAAGTCGGGAGGTAGGGACACTGGGGCGGGGCCCAGTGTGGGCTTTGGAAACCTCAGTGCCCATGCCCAATAACACACCTCCTCCAATAAAGTCTCACCTCCTAATCCTTCCCAAAACAGCTCTTCTACCAACTGGGAAACAAAAATTGCATGAGCCTGTGGTGGCCATTCTCATTCAAACCACCCAAGACAGACAGACAGACTCACACACACACACACACACACACACACACACACACACACACACACGGGGGGGTCCTAGCACAGATATAAGGGAAAGATTATTTAGATTAACCTGGGGTGGGGAAACTTCCTGAAGAATCTAACCCTGCTGTGGTGATAAATGCCACCTGGGGAGGAGGGGAAAGGGGAGCAGGGGGTGACACCCACCCTCAGCGAGAGAGCAAGTCTGAGCATGGTGTCAGCTGTGACTCCAGGCACAGAACAAAGAAAACGCACCCATGATAAACATTATGTTTGACTTCTGCTAAATAAGACTTTTATGATAACGCTTCCTCGAACCCAAGAGATCCATCTGCCTCTGCATCCTGAGTGGTGAGATTAAAGGCTTGCGCCACCACCAGCCAGCTTGTAAAACATTTTTTAAGTTAAAAAATTGTGTGTTTATGTGTGTGTATATTATAAATACAGCATAGCCATCCATCTTATCTCCCTCACTACACACACACACACACACACACACACACACACGCATGCATACACACCGTACACGATGGGGAAACTGACCCCCAGAAAATGTCAATGCTCTGCGTTTGTTTGCTGTTGCCTCATGCTCGAGTTTTGCGCTGATATATGCAGCTGCCTTGCATGGAGTATAGTAATAATATGGCAGCTATTTTCTTTCAGACGTATTTACTATATTTTATGTGTTGAGTCTCTTGCTTACATGGGCATCTGCGCACCATGTACATGCCTGGTTCTCACAGAGGTCAGGAGAGGGCATCAGATCCCTTGAAGCTGGACTTACATTGGGCCTGGGCCCTCTGCAGGAACAGTGCTCTTAACTAGTGAGCCACAGCCCTGATGTGGGGGTCTTATAAACAGTGACTGGCAGATAAAAGCTAGGAAAGGCATTTGGGGACAATCTTAAGGTCTTCACTAGTGGAAATGGATCTTCGGAGCCCAAGGAAGAATCAGCCCAGGTTTAAGTCCTCGTACTCACCAGGAGAGACACAGTTACCGTCTGCTGACTCGAAGCTGCAAGCATACGTGTGCGCGGGAACATAGGCAGCAGAAGTATTGAGGGACGGATCCCAAACGATGACGTTATAAATGACTCCTTGTCCCCAGAGGGAAGAGAAGGACACAGTTGTTTTATCGTCCGATGTCAGGGTAGCCACCTAAAGCCAAACACAGCAAGTGGTGTGTTCACAGCTTCTTGAAGCTGTGGTCACTGTGGTCACTGTGGTCACCTGCACAAACCAAGCCAGCACACACCCCAGTGTGGCGTCCCCAGGAGCTACTGACAGCTGATGGTTTCTGGGAAGGGAAAGTCAGTTTCCTTTTTTACTAGATTTTATTTTTAAGTGCATGTGAGTGTGTGCATTCGTGCGTGTGAATGCACACTTGTGAGTGGGGTACCCAAGGAGTGCAGACGGGGGTGTCAGATCCCCCCGGAGCTGGGGTTACAGGCAGTTCTGTGTCGCCTTGTGGTGATATATTGTTTACGATCTAATAAAGCAACTGGAGATAAAAATACAAAGCTAGCCAGCGGTGGTGGCACATGCCTTTAATCCCAGGACTCGGGAGGCAGAGGCAGGCGGATCTCTGTGAGTTCCAGGCCAGCCTGAGCTACACGGATTGATTCAGTCTAAAAGAGAAACAACTCACACAAAGGTGATCTCAGAACTTGGGATATGGCTGGGCAGTGAGAGGAATACAAGGCAGGAGGAGACAGGAGCTCAGGAGGAGACAGGAGCTCAGGAGGAGACAGGAGCTCAGGAGGAGACAGGACAGGAGCTCAGAGGTTGCAGTCCGAGGCTTGGTGGAGAGCAGTGTAGTCTGCACTGCACTCTGAGGATTGTGGAGACAGAATCACCCATTATGGTCTGAGGTAGAGGTGAGAGCTAGTGGCTCAGCTGCTCTGTTTATCTGATCTTCAGCCTTAACCCCAATATCTGCCTCTGGGTGTTTATTATAGGCTGGCCATGCTCCACCGGACCGCTCCTACCCATGAGTGCACAGGCTGCACAAACTGGACTCCGTGGGTTATTAGAAACAAAGAAAAAGACACCAAGATGGGGGGAGCTGGGGGGGAGTCTGGGAGGAGTTAGAGGGAGGAGTTGGGAGTGAATATGATTGAAATGCACGGCATTCACGTATGAAATTCCCAAAGAATCAGTAAAAATGTGTTAAAAAATATTAATGCCAATGTATATCTCCTTCAGCGGTTTCTCAGTTTTCAGACCTTTCCCTTTACACTTGCCAGAAGCTCTTATCTAAGTTACTGAAGTGTACAGAAGATTATCACCCACTTCTCCTCCTACCAGGAATGATGGTGTCCCGATACGGTGTCCATCACAAGGCAGCTGAGTTGCTTCTCCGTCTCAAAGGCTAACAACATCACCTAAGAGCACCCGAACCCAGCCACATGGGCGAGAACCAGACTCACCTTGACCGCACTGGCCTTCACCTGGGGCACCTCGGTCATCCTCTGCAGATGCTGGAGCAGTGAGGCCTCGGTGAGGTCGCCCTCGGGGAGAAAGTACTGGTACACGTCATACCGCAGCCTCCACCTGGACTCCTGGCCCGTGCTCACGTCACACGGCGGAGGCTCCGCACCTCTAAAGCCAACCAACAAGACCGGGCATCAGTCTCTTGTGGCTCTAGTCCTGTCTTCAAGGAGGAGCCAGAGCTCCCATTTCAAACTTCTGCAGACACAGTTCCCATGTCACAGCTGTGAGTCTATGTGGTTCTCTGGGGGACAGCAGTAAACAGCGATGACTGGACTGCTGTTGCCCAAAATTCCTATCTCAAGTTCCTGCCTCCACTGTGGACAGTACTACAAGCTGGCTTTGGGGAGATAATTAGATCTCGAAGGAGGAGCCCTCCCGCATGGGACTGGTGTCCTTGTAGATGAGGCCCCGGACAGCTCCCAGGCACTCTTCCCTTCTCCTGGGGACTCAATAAGAAATCTGCAAATGGCAGGAGGCCCCAGCCAGAGCCCCGAAGTGCCACGCTCAGCAGTGCGAGGAGGACACGTCTGGGTGTGGTGCACAGCTGTAACGCAACAGGCAGGGGGAACATCAGTGCAAGTTCAAGGTAAGCCTGGACTACACGGAAAGTTCCAAACCAGTCAGGGACACATTTGAGCAAATAAACAAATGCCTACAAGTAAATAAGTAAATGTCTGTTGTTCAGAATGTACCCATGGAGTTTCTGGTACAGACTGATGATTCTCAGTCTAAAGATCTGAAACCTGGACTCTACCTGAATCTCAGGTCTGTTGGTGCTCTGGGCTCTCAGACTAGGGATGTTCAACCCTCACTCAGGGTCTACGCAAGTTTCCAGCCCCAAATGTTTCAGATAAGAGATGCTTAGACCTTTATGACGGCAGCACTGACTCTCTCTCTCTGTCTCTCTCTCTGTCTCTCTGTCTGTTTCTGTCTCTGTCTCTCACACACACACACACACACACTCTCTCTCTCCCTCTCTCTCTCTCTCTCTCACACACACACACACACACACACACACACACACACACACACACACACACACACACGAGCCCGTGCACTGGTATAGTTGAAAGAAAAGCAGATTCTGAAGTGGGCTGGCCCAGATGACACTGGATCATGTGGTTAAGTGTGTGTGTGTGTGTGTGTGTGTGTGTGTGTGTGTGTGTATACCTGTGAGTGTGGGTACCCATGGAGTCCAGAAGAGGGAGTCTAACCTCAAAGGCCCCCCCAGAGAATATCTGTAAAATAAAAACTGCTTTTTCGTAAGCATATCAAGATTAAGTAACAGTCAGTACTGTGGGGGGTGGGGGAAGGCGGGCATAGGGCTTTTAATCCATCCTTGCTATTACAAGCGGAAACTGAGGCAGACTTTCGAAAAACTAAATCCTCATAAGGTGTAAGAATTTAGGGCTATGGAATGTCTTCTATATTTAGATGCTCTGAGAAAACTTTCCAGATAGGGCTGGAAAGAGGGTTCGGCGGTTAAGCACACACACGCTTCCCTTACACAGGACCAAGCTTAGTCCCAGGACCCATGCTCGGCAGCTCACAACCTCCTGTGACTCCAGTTCCAGGGTGTGGTGTAAAGCTGTGTTACATTAGCTTACGCTGCGGAATATTACTCTAACTGTGTAGAGGTGTGCTGCATTCTGTTGCTTTTATTCATGCTGCATTTATTTAGTTATATAAAGATGTGTTGCTTTTCACTTGTCTGTCTAAGGCATTTGATTGGTGTAATTAAGATCTGAAGGGTTAACAGCAGGGCAGTACAGGGACAGGAGAAGCTGACAGGAAGAAAGAGGAAGGAGGAGGAGGAATCTGGGCTCGAGAGGGAGATGCCAGGGGCTAGCCAGCCAGCCGCCAGTCAGCAGACACAGAGTGGGACATATAGGGAGGGAGGGAGGGAGGGAGGGAGGGAGGGAGGGAGGGAGGGAGGGAGGGAGGGAGGGAGGGAGGGAGGGAGGGAAGCAGGGAGGGAAGCAGGGAGGGAAGCAGGGAGGGAAGCAGGGAGGGAAGCAGGGAGGGAAGCAGGGAGGGAAGCAGGGAGGAAGGGAGAGAGGGAGGGAGGGAGGAAAAAAAAAGCCCTGAGATAAAACATAGATACAGCCAGCACTCGGGAGGCAGAGGCAGGCAGATCTCTGTGAGTTCGAGACCAGCCTGGTCTACAGAGTGAGTTCCAGGATAGGCTCCAAAGCCACAGAGAAACCCTGTCTCAAGAAAAAAAAAATCGATAGAGAAAAGGATTAAAGTAAGAGCTAAGATTAGGCTGAGCATTCATAACTAATAATAACTCTGTGTCATGATCTGGGAGTTGCTTGGTGGCCTAAAAGAAAGCCTGCTACACCAGGACACCCGGTGCCTGTGGCCTTTACAGGGACCTGTACTCATGTGCACACATCCACACAGACACACATACACACAACACTTAAAAATGATAAAAACAGCCAGGCGGTAGTGGCGCATGCCTTTAGTCCCAGCACTCAGGAGGCAGAAGCAGGCAGATCTCTGTGAGTTCGAGACCAGCCTGGACTACCAAGCGAGTTCCAGGACAGCCTCCAAAACAATACAGAGAAACCCTGTCTTGAAAAACCAAAAACCAAAAAAACAAATCTTTAAAAAAAGAAAACTAAGATGAACTTCCAAGCTCACATCACACCTGTGTCTTCAAATAAAGAATGCAGAAGTATTAAGGAGATGATTCAGTATAAACAACAGCTCAAATATTAGCACTGAGGTTTAAGTTATACCAACATCCCCCCCCCAAACAAAAAAACAATTCAGCTTTACTAAAGAAAATGATGGGCTGAGGCAGTGGGCTGGACGGTCCTGAGTACCCTGAGAGGGGTTTCGGCAGCTGTACCTTGCATAGCCTAGGTTTGCTGGAGCAAACTTGATAGTTGTTTCAAAAAAATTATAGTCCAAGTAAATGTTGGGATCAATATCTAGGTCAAACTCCAAATTGCAGCCTCCAGGAATGGGATCTGGATGAGAAATGGTGAGATTAGCAACCCAAGAATCCTCGTCACGTTCCAGGAAGCGTCCTGCACAAGAACTTCCTAGATAGCGACACGTCAGTGCCCAGCATTTCTGCTGTATCATGACTGATGTTTGGAAGCGTGCAGCTCCCCCCTTATCCCCTTCCCCCCAGAGTGTCCTTTTCGAACCCGGGGCTGTGCGCACCCTAAACACAGCTGTTCCCCAGACTCGTTCCCACACTCCAACAGTCTGAATTCCCTCACCCCACCCTTACTTAGCTGCTGCTGGGACCTGGGTCCCATCCCCATACTATCAAAAGAACGCCCTGACACGCCAACCCCTCTGTCACTCAGACACCGCAAGTCATGGACCTCTCTGAACTTTTCTGGAATTTTCTATGCACCACTCCCGGCTCAGGTGTCCCTCCTACCTCTAGAGATCTCCTCAGCACTGTGCCTACACCTCTGTGGTTACCACTGTTGTAATTTAGGAAAAGTAGTGCGGGCTGGAGAGGCGGCTCAGAAGTTAAGAACACTGGCTGCTCTTCCAGGGGCCCTGAGTTCAATTCCCAGCAACCACATGACGGCTCACAGCCATCTGTAATGAGATCTGGTGCCCTCTTCTGGCATGCAGGCAGAACACTGTATATGTGATAAATAAATAAATCTTAAAAGAAAAGTGGCCCATGAGAGAAAGACGTCATGCGACAGACTTCAAGCAGAGTGGTCTTTTATTAGGGAGAGGGATCATAAAAGGGGGGAAGGAAGAGGGGAGAAACAGCCTCTGGGTGGACAGGAGCAGCGGGGGAGAGGAAAGAGCGGGAGAGGAGAGAGAGAGACAGGGAGAGGGAGAGGGGAAAGTTTGGGAGGAGGAGGTAGACGGGCCCTTTTAAAAGGGAACACAGTGAATGTGCACAGGTGGTGCTCTCAGTGGCTGCAGCTGAGGTCATATCCTTTCAGAATCCCAAGGACAGGCCAGTCCAGATGCCTGAATACCAACAATCGCCACCCCAGTACGGTGGAGACAATCAATCAAATCACCCCCCTCTCAGTTCCTGCGTGAACAATCCCACGCGTGGCCCTCACTCTTTACCCCAGGTCTGTACTGTAACCGCCAACTCTGAGCTTCCAATCAGATGTCCCACAAGCACCTCAGACTCACTGTGCCCCTTACAGAAGTCACTACTGACTCCGTGCCACCCCTAAAGGAGCCAGGTCCCCAAGCAGCCCCATATCGAAACCTATGTGTAGCACAATCTCTGCCCGGTCCCCTCTCTGATGGTGCGCAGGGGCAGCATCGGTCCCACCAGCCCAGCCCCAGCTCGCCCAGCCCCAGCTCGCCCAGCCCCAGCTCGCCCAGCCCCAGCTCGCCCAGCCCCAGCTCGCCCAGCCCCAGCTCGCCCAGCCCCAGCTCAGGACGGTGTTCAGACTGTCGTCCTCAAAGCGGCCGTACCCAGTCCCGACTCCGCTCTTTCTTCTCCATGTAGCTCAGGCTGGCTTCAACCCGCCATGGAGCCGACTCTGAACTCAGTCCTCTTGCCCCTGCCTCCCCCATGCTGGATTACAGGCAAACAACCGGCACCCAGGGTATCGTGCACGCTGGGCAGACACTGACCGACCACGCTACGGCATCAGTCCCTCTATGGTCAGCTTTCTAAAGATGAAACAGACTACAGCGCTCCTCTGCCCAAACTCCCCGTGCTTCCTCTGAACACACCTCGGCGCTCAAACATGCAATCGCTCAAGGCTTTCTGCTCTCCGACGCTAGGACTCTAGACACACACGCCTAGCTCTCCAGACCCGCACCTTCGTTAGGATGATCGTGCTGCCGCCACTGCCTAGAATAACACGTAGCTATGAACGGCTGGTTCTGATGCTGCTTTCTCTGCCTCTCTTGCACTGAAACACTCCTGTTAAATAAACGATTTTACCAGACTACTTCTCCTTGGGTTTCCACAAACGAAGCTCATATCCCACAGATGAACTCAGACAGGAAATTACCTCTTTCTGAGTAGAAGAGTGGAATGGCCACATTTTGGACAGGCTTGGCATCTTTTGTCTCCAAATACCAAGTGCACACAGTCTGCTCCGGTCTAAGCATGAAAACCAGCCCTTGGTCGTTGCCTGTTCTCGTGGTGCCGGGAAGGAGAGTCTGCATTTGGGAAGAAGAGCCACCGTGAAGACAGAACTGAGAAATGGCACGCACTGCGGAGCTATCCCGTGCGTACAGCCCTCTCCAAACCGCTCAGAACAAAAAGAAAAAAAAATCTACTTAAAGAGTTTTCATCTCTATGCATACAGGAGAACTCCCTGAAACACAGTGTCACTGAGGGCTGGAGACGGTTCAGCAGCTATGAGCCCTGGTTGCTCTTCCAAAAGAGCTGCGCTCCCCTCCCAATGTTCACACGACGGCTCACAACCGTCTGTAACTCCAGTTCTGGGGGACCTGATACCCTCTTCTGGTCTATAAAGGTACCAGGCCCACATGAGGTACACAAAGAGGTATGCTGACAATTCATTTGTACAAAATAAAAAAAATAAAAGTTTAGCAATACATACCATTGCCTCAGTCAACAGGAACTGCTGGGACGAAATACGACAGGTTTTAGGGTCTATAAACACAGCAGAGCGAGGAAAGCGCTCTTGTGAGGGGCTGCTTTATAGGGGTGTTATCTTACTGGTAAGGCTGTGTAAAGAGAAATCCTTTCCGCCAGCCTGGTTCCAGAGCCACATCAGTCCCAAATAAACACACAGGAGGCTATATTAATTATGAAGCTGTTGGCCTTGCTTGTTTCTTACTGGCTAGCTCTGACGTAAGTATTTATCCCATAATTGCTAATCTAAGTATGTCTCTTACCGGAGAGGTTTCCAGGCTTCCTACCCCATGGCGTTACATCTTGACTCTCTGTCTTTCTCCTTCCCAGAGTCCTCCTGGACTCCTAGTTCCACCTATCTTGGCTCCCTATTAGCCAACAGTGCTTTATTGACATATACACAGGACTTCCCCCGTCAAGGCTGTGTCACGAACATCTCCCAGTTACGGCCGCTAAGTGTCTTATGTGTGTGCAAGTGTGAGCATGTGCGCATGCCAACCCTTTATCCCTCTCCAATTTATTACTTCAACTAGTTTATGTATCTTAGATTTATTATTTGTTTCATTTTATGTATGTGTGGCTTGCTGCATGTATGTATGTGTACTATGTGTGGGCTTGTGGCCCTCAGGAGTCAAAAGAGGGTTTCAGATCTCCTGAGACCGGACTTAAAGATGGACATGAATCCTGGGAACTGACCCAGGTCCTCTCCAAGAACAAGTACTCTTAACCGCTGAGCCATCTCTCCGTCCCCTCCAGCTTATTGTTCAAGACCAGGTCTCTCCCTGTGCCTGGGACTCACTGACTGGCTAGACCGACTAGCCAGTGAGCCCTGTTCCTACCTCCTCGGTGCTGGGGTAACAAACTCACACCGGGTCTGGCTGGATTTTTGTTTTGTTTTGATGGGGTGCTAGAGATCAAACTCAGGCCCTATAGACTGAGTTCTCTCCTTGGCCCTCCGTTTCCTTTTCCTAATACACTAAGGGACAGGGTGTAGACCAGGGGGAAGGCACTTGTCTATCAAGTGTCATGGCCTGGGTTTCATTCCTAGCTTGATGGGGTGGGAGGAGGAACAGGAATTGTACATTGAATTTTTCAAGCACTACAGTTCAACTGAATTAAGGTTTATTCTGTCAGGTTCTGAGGCTAACAAGACAAAACAGGAGCTTTGGCCCCAAAGAGTTCAGTTTACAAAGAGCTTTTGATTTAAAGATTTATTTAGTTACTTATTATTATTTTGTGTGTATGAATACTTTTTGCCGGCATGCATTTCTGAACACCACAAGTGTGCCTGGTACCTGTGGAAGCCAGAGGAGGGCATCAGAGCCTCTGAAAGTGGTATTAGGGATGAATGGGAGCCACCACCAGGGGGAAACAAACCGGGGTCATCTGCAAAAGCAGCCGGTGGTGGTCTTTAACCACTGAGCTATTTCTCCAGCCTGCTGGGAGACCTTTTCCTTTAAGATAAGGTCCACGTAGGCCAGGTAATCTCAGCCTCACTGTGCAGCTGAAGCCGCCCTTAATCCCTTAACCCTCCTGCCTTCAGACAGAATGCTCCCCTAAGCTGAGAGAACAGGAAGGGGAAACGAACCAGGTGAGTTTCAACTTGGCAAGCCTCAAAGGGAGGGGTTAAGAGTAGCCACAAAGGACCCATTGCCTCGACAACCAAAACCAGACACGGGAGAGAGAAAGAACACTGCTTTTCACACACAGTTATTTCTACAACCCTATGCAGTTCAGACTGTGAACCAAGATAACGCTAGGCAATTATAGCCTGTGACTACAGATGGCTGGGCCTTGCTGGAGACCAGGCCCACACACAAACAGACATCAGAGTCTAACACACATTATTATAGCACTATTATTGTCTTAAAGAAAAGGTCTCCCAGCAGGCTGGAGAAATATACGATGGTCTCCCTACTGGGATAATCCTTTGTACTTACCTTAGTAAATGAAATGGTGGTGTTCTGATACTGTGAGTGTATTTGGAAAAGAAGGAAGGTCACATTGCTTGAAATGTGGCGCAGGATGGCCTCCCGTGGAAAGGGCCGGCTGAGCAGAAAGTACGTAAATTTTCCCACAGAAAACTCGAGAAAACCTGCAATGGGAAAATTTTTCTCATTACAGTATTATGTCTCTAGTATCAATTTATGCAAATCCCATTCATTTAAAAAAAACATACAATGCTAATTAAATCTCAGAAAACCCCTCTGAGAGCCAGGTACGGTGGTGCGTGCCTGTTATCTCAGCCCTTGGGAGGCTAAAGCAGAGGGGTCTGCGTAAGCGCAAGGCCCGTCTGAGCTGCAGATCAAGAAGCTGTCGCCGAGCCGGGCGTTGGTGGCGCACGCCTTTAATCCCAGCACTTGGGAGGCAGAGGCAGGCGGATCTCTGTGAGTTCGAGGCCAGCCTGGTCTACAGAGCTAGTTCCAGGACAGCCTCCAAAACAATGCAGAGAAACCCTGTCTCAAAAAACAAAAAAAAAGCTGTCACCGTCTGGGTGGGGTGTGAAGACAAGGAGACACAGACATCGCAAGCCTCAATCCACAGCAGCCATGGTTGACATGATTAGCCCTGTCAACGGTCACGGATAGGAGAGGGGTTCTGGGGCCCTACCCTTTCTGCAGAACTATAACTAACTAATGATACATTCTAACTAATGATACATTCTAACGATACATTCTAACTAATGATACATTCTAACGATACATTCTAGGGCTGTCACTGTCTTCAGCTGTGAGCCCACTACTGAGCCCATCAGTCTCCAACAGGTACTTCCAAACCCATGTGTGAAAATGACAAAGGACTTAATTCGCTTTTTAAAATGAGCCTGTCTTAAGAACATAAATATGCAGGCTGGAGAGATGGCTCAGTGGTTAAGAACACTGGCTAGTCTTTCAGAGGTCCTGAGTTCAATTCCCAGCAACCACATGGCAGCTCACAACCATCTATAATGAGATCCCATACCCTCTTCTGGCGTGCATGCCAGAACACTGTATGCATAATAAATAAATAATCTTAAAAAGAAACACAAATGTGCTTTCTGGCCTGTCTGCTGCAGTGGGGTCAATTTTGCTGGCCCTCGGGCATCACTAATGTTTCACTGTGCAAGGAGCCCTTGGCTCATTTCTGTCCTCCATTTTCTGGTTTCATTCCCCACTACCACCAACACACCACACACACACACACACACACACACACACACACACACACACACACACACATACACACACACACCCTCCCTCATTTTCTCCATTTGACAAGTATCAGCAAGTACTTATAAAATCACTCCGTCTGCGCCTAAAACTTGTAGCAAATTCATTACAGCTCATCCCTCCGAGGTGCCTGCCACCATCTCTGGGGCCCCTAATGTGATCCAGAAGATGTTCCGCTGGTCCTTGCTGTTTCCCATGACACAGACTCTGAGCCAGAACAGCTCAGAAGGCCCTGGAAGAGACTACAGCCACCTCTAGAGATATGTTGGTGGTCAACTTAATGCTCTTCAGTCCATGATCTCCAAGATACCAACATACCAGAAGGACAGTGCAGAGCCACAGACCAAAGGCTCGGCAGTTAAGAGCACTGTCCGCTCTTCCAGGGGACCCAGGTTCAGTCTCCAGAACCCACGTGGCAGCTCTCAACTGCCTGTATCCAGTTCCAGGGAGACCCTTTTCTGACCCACCCAGAGCACTAGGTACCGAGCACAGATGCACATGCAGGCAAAACACCTATACACAATAAAATAGAATCTTCAGAAAAGAAATATAGGAGTGCAGTAATTAAAATGATTAAACAACCGGGAGCTGACTGAGGAGCCTGCCTGACTCCATTTTAAAGACAGGAACCATTACGCTGTATTTTTCAAAAATAAGTTTCTATTTACTGTGAGAGTTGAGTTGTTCTTTGTTTCCTAAAGCCTGACCTTCCCCACCCCAAGACCTGGATTTGTTTTTGAGAATACCCTATCGCTCCCTGACCCTCCTCACCCCTCGCTAATCACTTGGTGACCACATGATTTTTTTTTTACAGATTTGTTTATATTTCCTTATTGCCCCATTGGTACTCATGATTTTACTCCTTAAAAGGGGCCCAAGAGATGGACTTGCTGCTGTTCTCTTTAGCCCAGCTTAGGAGGCAGCTGGGGCCAGCTCTTGGGTGCACGCCAGTAAAAATCCAGCTTGCTTCAAATCTGGTTTAAATTGGTGTAGTGGTCTCATTCTCACCGTTGGGATGAACACTGATAACCTGATGAGTGATGTCATCACTGAGAGTACATGTGTAGGGGAGAGCTCACAAACCCGAGATACTGTCCACGCCCCAAACGGGCGTGGACAGAGGGCCGTGGGAAAGGCAAGAGAAAGAGAAAGTAAAATCTCTCTTGGATGCTGGCTGTGCTTTGGAGAGCAGAGCGCTTCCCAGCTTCCCCTGTAAGTGATTTCTGTATTTAATAAAGTATCCTAGACCCCCACCCCACCCGTTTCCTTTTCAGCATGTCAAGGGGCTTTCTTTACACATCTTTTTCAAGTTTCAAAGTGTTCTTAATCAGAAGGAAATGTCATGATTTGGCAAAAGCTTCCAGCTTTGATGGCCTCAAGACTCAAGTTCTGCCTGAGTCTACATTTTAAAGTCGTTGAAACAACAAAAATACATTAGAACAACAAAACACCAAAAAAAGAAAAAGCTATGTTCAAATCTCACTAAACAATATGGGGACACGCTCAGCACCCCTCTACTGCAGACACGCATGCCCAGTTGTCACTCTGGTAAGGGTGCCACCACCCCGCAGCATCCACAGCACACAGGTCCCAAACTCTCCAAACTACCAGCCCCTCACATGCAATGGTACCTGCCGTAGGAGACTTAAGAGATGGCTCAGTGGCTGAGAGCACTTGTTGAGCAAGCAGGGGGATCTGAGTTCAAATCCCAGCACCCACATAAGAAAGGCAGGCACAGCCACATACACTTGAAATTTCTATGCTACAGAGAGCAGAGACAGGAAGATCACTGTGGTTTTCCAGCCACCAGTGTAGCTCCAAGTTCAGGGAGAGACCCCGTCTCAACAGAACAAGGCAGAGAGCAATCGAGCAGGACACGTGGCCTGCTCCTGACTTCTTTGTACACCTGCTTGCATGCATGCACACACTCGCACAGACACACATCCACGCACATAATTTATCTGTGAGCTGTTCACACACCTAACGTAAGTGCTACATTGTTATATTGTTATATTGTTAAGAGAACAACGACATGAAACAAAAAATCTGTCCACATTCAGTACAGACACACTTTTAAAATGCTGCTTTCACTCCGCAGCTGATTCAATCTGCTCGTGGGTATGGAGGCCAACTCTGTGCTTAAGGCTTGGTATCCAGATGTATAATGCAGCCAGGTGTTGGTGGTGCATGCCTTTAATCCCAGTCCTCGGGAGGCAGAGGCAGGCGGAGCTCTGTGAGTTCGAGGCCAGCCTGGTCTACAGAGTGAGTTCCAGGACAGCCTCCAAAACAATACAGAGAAACCCTGTCTCGAAAAACCAAAAAAAAGATGTATAATGCTTATTTCCATATACATGCAAGAAGAAAGATAAGCAAATGTTTGATGTTTGACAGCCCACTTACCAGGCTTTAGACTTCTGTCTGTCCATAGTGACAATTCAGGGGCAGAAGCTGTATTGCAGTGACAGAGCATCTGTGACACAGGTGTGAGACCCTGGGCTCCACACCAACACTGAGGGGAAGGGTGATTCTACCTCGGCCCTTTCCAAAGCTATTTAGTATCCCATTGTGCATGCATACCATAATCAGTAAACACATCTATTGAGGAATATACTCACATCTATTTTAGTAGGAAAAAATAAGTTAAGGAAAGATGCTATAGGGGCTGGAGAGATGTCTCAGCGGTTAAGAGCACTGGCTGCTCTTCCAAGAGGTCCTGAGTTCAATTCCCAGCAACCACATGGTGGCTCACAACCATCTGTAATGAGATCTGATGCCCTCATCTGGTCTGCAGGCATGCATGCAGACAGAACACTGTATAACAATAAATAAACAAATCTTTAAAAAAAAAAAGGAAAAGAAAAATTGCTATTCATGGTCAAGATCACTCTCAGCTAGACAGTGAATTTGGAGCCAGCCTGCACTACATGAGACTCTAGACAGTGAATTTGGAGCCAGCCTGCACTACATGAGACTCTAGACAGTGAATTTGGAGCCAGCCTGCACTACATGAGACTCTAGACAGTGAATTTGGAGCCAGCCTGCACTACATGAGACTCTGTCTCAAAACTCCCCAAAATAAAATAAAATATTTCTGTTTTACGGGAGAGTGTCCTAGGAAGCATACAGGTCGATGACTACCGCACTGTGAGACTTTTACTGCTATATAGTGACAGATGACCTTTGCCCTTAGTTACACTGCACCTAAGGTGTACGTATTCCTGTCCAAAACTCATAAATGAAAACCAACAGCCAGAGAGACTGGCCAGGGAGCAGGCCTGAAACTTTAAGCTGAAGTCTCTGCTCTCAAGAACTCCACCTAGTCTTCCAGGGACCACGAGAACTCTTGCTTGGTGTGGACAGCGTTTTTCAGAGAGGATGCTTCCCCGAGGCCCCGCCCCACAGGGCCACGCCCCCACAGCCTGTGGCAGGAACCAGGCAAGAGGGCAAGATACTGCCTATGGTCCTGTTGCTTTAACGTCGTCTGTAGCATCGAGGACAGATACCTTAAATTATTTCTTCTCCATCACAGCTCCTCTGTCACTTCCCTGTAGTTATCAGAAGTGTCCTCCTCATCCTCGGGACACCACAATACACCCCGGCTGTTGGTGACACTCACGTGGAGGTGATCTGCTGCCCAGACTCTCCCACACCACTTAAATAAAAATCCCTAGCAGTAGCTGCAGATATGAACTTAGGAACAAACACTTGTTCAAACAGCATGGGGAAGGGCCAGGACTAAAACTCAGTTGACAGAGGGCTTGACCAGCACGCCCAACAAGCATAAGCAGGTGTTGGATGCTGTAATCCCAACGATGGGGAGATGGGTGGAGGGACGAGGACCAGGAGTTCAAGTCACCCTCAGCTGTGTGGGTTAGCTCAAGGCTAGCCTGGGCTATACAACGCCCTGCATCAAAAAACAAAACAGAAAACAGAACTGCAAACACCATGCTGGGTGAATAAGAGAGACATATATACACTCTCCAATTTTTTTTTGTTTGTTTTGTTTTTTGAGACAGGGTTTCTCTGTATTGCTTTGGAGGCTATCCTGGAACTCACTCTGTAGACCAGGCTGGCCTCGAACTCACAGAGATCCTCCTGCCTCTGCCTCCCGAGTGCTGGGATTAAAGGCTTGCGCCACCACCGCCCGGCCACCTCTCCATCCTTAACTGAGCTGCCTTGTGTGTGGGATTGACTGGTCATCCAAGAACCATTGCACAATTTGTATAGAGGATTACATTTTAACCCAAGCTTGGGTGGTTTCCCTCCTAGCTATACAGGTCTTTGTCATATCTGATGATCCAGTGTCTGGCACTATACCAGTTGCCTGGCAGTAAATGCTTGTTCAACAGAAACTAAACTATGTGACCCGAGGCGACGCATTTGTTTCCTCTGGGCCTGTGTTCTCTCACTATGAAAGGGAGGGAACTGTGCTACCGTAGCCACCAGGCTGCCAAGAGCACCAAACACATGGGAAAATGGTTTTATAGCCACCAGACGCTGCGCAGTGGGGCCCTGGGCTTCCCTGACCAATGCTTTGGAGACACAGAGCCTCGAATTAAAAGAGAAGCCAAAAATATCCACCGGGCGTTGGTGGCACATGACTTTAATCCCAGCACTAGGGAGGCAGAGGCGGGTGGATCTCTGCCAGCCTGGTCCAAAACAATACAGAGAAACCCTGTCTCAGAAAAAAAAAAAAAAACCAAAACAAAACCAAAAATAAATAAAAGAGCAGCCAAAAATATCCAGGCATTCTCAAACCGGTCCTACAGAGAAAGTAGTGGGGACAGGAGAGGAACATTCCCAGAGATGCTGGGATTATCATAAACAGCAATAAGGGGGCTTCCACAGAGTGACAATGAGAGATACTGATAGGTGGGACCCTGGGGATAGCTTAGTGGTAGATGCTTGCTCGGGGTTCAATCCCCAATACCACTGAAAGAATGGGGGAGGTGAGACATAACTACAGGAGGGCCTGGGCAGGGGAGAGGGGGAGAGAGAATGAGAGAGAAGGGAGGGGGGAGGGGGAGAGGCAGAGGAGGAAGTCAAAACAGCTTCTACCACATACATGATAGACACGTTATTTAATCTCCTATTGTTTGGCTTTGTTGTTATTTGTTTTCTGGTACTGCAGAATGAGCCCAGGGCCTCTCAGGCGCTAAGCGACGGTCTGCCACTAAACCACATCCCTCTTTAATATGTGTATTCCAAGGCAGGTCCTACGTTGCCCACGCTGTCCTGGAACTCACTCTATCCCGCCCAAGTGGGCCTTGAAGCTTCAGTCCTTTGGCTTCAGCTTCCCAAACAGCTGGCTGGGTCAAGACAAGCCCGGGACACCAGACCCGGCTGGAAAATGCATTTCATCTCTTCTCACAAAAGAGATTGGCAAGGGAAGGCACACCCAAAGATACATCCTGCACAGGTTAATAGCCTAACTTCACCTCCAAGGCATCTGGGGAAGGAGTCACCAGAAGCATTTGACAGGCGTAATTATGTCTTATGACTGGGAGTGGGGAGAAGACATCAAAGGGCCCTACAGAGCCCGAGGCCCGGCCAAGATTGTACTCTGTGCCTCTGCTTTGTCTGACAGTTTGAAAACACCCCAACTGAAGCTGGGCGTTGGTGGCGCACACCTTTAATCCCAGCACTCCGGATGCAGAGGCAGGCGGATCTCTGTGAGTTGGAGGCCAGCCTGGTCTACAGAGCGAGTTCCGGGACAGGCTCCAAAACAATACAGAGAAACCCTGTCTCGAAAAACCAGAAAAAAAAAATCCCAACTGTCATCCGAATAGAAGGGGCGGGCTTTCTATTTTCACACGAACTTTCCATCCTTAATCAGACAATTTTTTCCCTTCCCCTAACTCCATTCTAGAAAGACCTTCCATCCCTCACCTTTTCCTCTTTCCCAGTCAGATCCCCATCGTAAAGCCACCCAACTCCTTCTTTCGCTCTGGTACTAAAATGAACTCTGAACTGCCCTCCTTATCCTCTGTACACACAGCAGCCACCTGTAGGAGCGCCGACAAAGCCTGGCTTTCCTAATTCTTCTGTCCGAACACTCTGGGCGAAAAAGACCCAGCTGCTTCAGCGGGCTGACACTCAATTGTCCCTTACGGCTCTCATTTGCTTGTGGGTTGCTGGTTTGTTTTGAGATAGGGCCTTGTCATGTAGCCTACACTGGCCTGGAACTGGAGGCAATCCTCCTGCCGCAGCCTCTGGAGCTCAGCTTCGGATTGCCTGTCTTTACCTTCCGATGAACTGCCATTAGCTCGGAGCACTAAAGGGCAGGAGTCGGGGATCTGGTTGAGCGGTGACACGTGCGTCTGGTACCTGCAAGGACCGGGGCCCTGTCCTCAATTCCACAGAGTCCATGTGGGAACTAAAAAGGACACGCGGCGATGAGCACATGGCCTTCCGTGGGGAAGGAAGTGACCACGTCCCTCTATACAGGGAGGCGGCCCATGGCCCTGCTCAAAGCCTTCCCAAGGTACACAAGTCTTAAAGGCTGGGTGAGCAACTGGGTATGAATCTAAAACAAAAATGAAGGCACCCGGGCAAGCAGAGACTGGAACTCCGAGGGTGGCTGCTGTGACTTGCAGATCTGCCCCCCTCCCCCAGCTTGTCCTGGAGGCAGCTGCTTCAGCTCCATCTCTCTCCCAACCCTCACTAAGCATCAAGCCGGATCTCTGGGCCCTCGGTCCCCTCATCCCCCTGAGGTCTGGCAGATCCTTCTACGTTACAGAGGCTGCCCAGTTGCGTCATAACAACCCAGCCTATTCACAGGAGGGTCACAAGCACAAGCCTTCTACGGTGTCTCCACACCTGCCAGGCTACAGGGAATTCGAGCAATTGTTTGAGCTGAGGAGTCCTGCACAAAACTATTCTAATGGAGGGCAGAAAGAACAGTGCACAGCCACAGTATGGTGCCGTAATCAGAAGTGAGAGAGTGTAAAAAAAAAAAAAACTAATTGCCAACTTACTACTTTTCTTTCTCGACGTCCGTGTTTAAAAAAAAAAAAACTAGATGTTAAGTATTGAAACCCCAAACTAGAAATAAAAAAAGTCTCGCACCCAGCGCTTTCCAGACTCAGGGGCTTTTCTAGATCAACCCAAAACTCAAACCCTGCAGTCTCTCACCTCCTTCACAAGGCTGTTTCAAAGACAAGGGTTCCCAGAAAGACTACATATAAACCTCATGCTGTGAAAGTTCTTTCTAAGATAGGGTCTCATGTAGCCCGGGCTGGCCTCATAATCCGAATGTATTTGAATCTGACTTTGACCTCCTGATCCTCTTGTCTCTGCCTTCTGAAAGCTGGGGTTCTAGGCATGAACCCCCACACCGGGTTCCTGTGGGCTGGGGGGGTGGGAATCTTAGATGCTAGACAAACAAGCAGTCTACCAACTGAGCTGCACCTCCCGTCTGGGCAAGGCAACCTTCCCAGAAAGTTTAGGGGGGGGGGCTTGCAATTTGCCACACCTGTGTTGCTACCTATTCACCCAGTGAGTATCCTGAGCCTCCAAAGAGGAGATCGTTATCTCCTGGGGCTTTGAGGGTTAAAGCACCTAGCATACTGCCAGAGAAGAACGCTTCTCTTCAAGAAAATACGGGGTGTGTGTGTGTGTGTGTGTGTGTGTGTGTGTGTATTCAACACACACACATTTGCACTCGTCAACGTTGACCTTAGTTGTTCGAAAAGTTCCTAAAATGCGGGTCTACCCAAGGCTTTTCAGAGACAAGCATCTATCCCATACATCACCCAGAAGACTGCTGTCTTCAGCACTTGTCTCAAGCTCAAAACAAGGAATGTACTTAACTTCTCCAGAAACACACACACACACACACACACACACACACACACACACACACACACACACACACACGTGACCACCAGCCGGGCACAATTAGCGCTTTTCCCATTTCCTATTAACGCCCACCCGACCCCAGCAGTTGCTTAAACCCGTTTCACGTGGCCTAGAGTTTCAAGCCCCATCGCTGGCTCGTTTTTTTTCCCCCCTTTCCTCTCAAACTGCAAAATCCACCTGTTTGTTAAAGCATCTAGATGCTGGAGTGCCAAAGCCACCTGCTGCTCGGAACGCCTGGGCTCCTCGGCAGACGCGGCTATCCCGTGGCCGGGGCGTTAGGTTTCAGCTCTTGTTTCTCTTGGCCCCCGACTCTCACGCCCCAGGCTGGCCTCGAACTCCTAACCCTCCGGCCGCAGCCCCCTCGGGGGGCGCTGCGCTCACAGGCGTGAACCTCAGGGGCCGCTTCCATCCATGCCCTGAAAACTACAAGCACGGTTGCTCCCTGCCGGGAGGAACCTCTAGAGAGGGGAAGCCCGGCTACTTATCTCTGACCGGTTCCCAGTCCCCGGGAGGCGCCGGCAGCGAGGACCGGGTCCCGGGGGCCCGGGGACGGCTGCACGGACGCGGGCGGCCTGCGGCCTTGCGCGCGGGGCACAGGCGGCCCGGGAAGCTCACCGTCGCTGGAGTTCGCCTGGGCCTCGGCGGAGCCCGCCGCCAGCACCCCCAGGACGAGCAGCCGCAGCCGCCACATCGCTGCCGGCCGCGGGCGCGCGGGGTCGGGGCTGCTACCCCGGAGCGCCCGCGCGCACCGCTCTCCCGCCGCCCCAGCCCCGCCAGGCGCGCTCTTCCGGCGGGACGGCCGCGCGCGCGCCCGCCGGGCTCTGCTCCGCGGGCGCGCGCCTCCTGCCCCGGGGCGGGGCTCTCACTTTCGTCTCCTCTCTGTCTCTCTCTGTCTCTCTCTGTCTCTCTCTGTCTCTCTCTGTCTCTCTCTGTCTCTGTCTCTCTCTCTCTCTCTCTCTCTCTCTCTCTCTCTCTCTCTCTCTCGTCTTTCTCTCTCCCTCTCCCCCACTTTCTCTTCTCTTTCTCTTTCCCTCTCTTTGTCTCCTGTCTGTCTCTTCCCCCTTTCTCTCTTTTTCTTTCTCTCCTCTCTTTCCCTCTTTCCTCTCCTCTCTTCTCTGTCTCTCTCTCCTTCTCTCTCTCCCCACTTTCTCTTTCTCTCCTCTCTTCCTCTTTCCCTCTCTTTCTCTCCTCTCTCCCCACTTTCCCTTTCTTTTTATTTCTCTCCTCTCTCTCTTTCCCTCTCTTTCTCTCCTCTCCTCTCTCTTCTTTCTTTCTTTTCTTGGGTTTTTGAGACAGGGCTTCTCTGTGCAGCCCTGGAACTCACTCTGCAGACCAGGCTGCCTTCAAACTCAGTAATCCCCCTGCCTCTGCTTCCCTAAAGGCATGTGCCGTCACCGCCAGGTCAGCTGTGTCTTTCTAACTGTGCAAATTAACTTTTCTTTTTTTCTTTTTGAGACCTACAGGTCTCCTGTCGCCCGTGACCTTGAACCTCTGACTTCTTGCTGCCTTCCTTCCAAGGAAGATAAACTTGTAGCTTCACTAATGGATTTTATTTTATTGAGACAGGGTCTTGATATGCAGCCCACACTGGTCTGGAACTGACTACGGTCCTGTCTCAGCCTCCCCAGTGAACAATTATAAAATGGAGTACAATCACCACAAGGTGCCTCTAGCCCAGCCACAAACAGGTCGTTCAACTGTTTTAAGAAGCAGTTATGGGCCTGGTCGGTGGTGGTGCTCGCCTTCAATTCGGGCACTCAGGAGGCAGAGGCAGGTGGATCTCTGTGAGATCGAGGCCAGCCTGGTTGGTCTACAGAGTGAGTTCCAGGACAGCCTGTCTCAAAAACAAAAGCAAAAACAAAAACCCACCACCAACAACAAGATATCTTATGATTTTAGTGTAATAATCCCACTTTTAACTAGATAGATAGAAAAATTAGTCTGAAAAATTGGGAGGGTGGAGTGGCTCAGTGGTTAAAGGCACCTGTTGCCAAACCTCAAGATGTCAGCGTGATTCCTGGGATCCCGGTGGTAGAAGGAGAAGTCAGGTTGCCCCCTGACTTCTTCCGTAGTATGTATGCAAACACCCCACAAACACCAAATAAGTAAATGAATAAAATGTAAAACTAGGGCCGGGCATTGGTGGCGAACACCTTTAATCCCAGCACTCAGGAGGCAGAGGCAGGCGGATCTTTGTGAGTTTGAGACCAGCCTGGTCTATAAGAGCTAGTTCCAGGACAGCCTCCAAAGCCACAGAGAAACCCTGTCTCGAAAAACCAAAAAAAAAAAATGTAAAACTAAAATTTAAAATGACATCAAGAAATACTCAAAGTATTGTTTGCAACAAAAAGCAAGTGCTTGTCATTAGTCACTGACCAGATAACCTGTTGTAGCCATATAACCCCATGTGGCCCCCAGCAATGCTTCAGGAAGTAACTATTCATTTGAAGTGTTTAGGAATAGGCAATTAATATATGAAGCAATTTGTACACAAGGGATTTTCTTCCCCTTAAAATAGGCGTTCATGGCTCAGTTCATAAAAGGTAGGTTTCAGATGTATCATTTGTAATGAATGTTAAAAATACTAGCAAGTTGCTGAATTATTCTCTCTGCATATGTCTGTGTTAAAATACTATATTTAGGATCGGTGTCTGTTGAATAAGAATTTGATTTTTAAGAGGTACGTTTAATTTTCAGAGTTCGCTTATAAGACAGCTTTGCCAACCTTACCTAAACCCAGAGATCCTCCAAAGACTATTTCTTTGGGAAGAACAGAGTGTTGTCATGGGGACAGACGCTGCGACAGGATGCACAGGCCGCAGTAGATTAAGGAGGCGGAGGAAGGGGAAGTTATTAAAGACAAAATTAGGAGGGTTACAGCAGACGTTTTGAAACAGGAGCCCTTCGCCACAACGATTAATAAAAAGAGTGGTGACCGTTGGAAACGTCGCTCTGAGGTGGAGCAGTTTCTGGGCCGGTGTCCTTGCATAAGCGTGCTTTTGGAAGCTCAAGAGTTTGTGCAGGTGTGCAAGCGCATGGAAGCCAGAGGCAAATCTTGGATGCTGTTCCTCAGGAGTCCGTGTTGGTTTTTAATTTTTTGCTTGTTGTGTTTTGCTGTTTTGTTTTTCGAGACATGGTTTCTCTGTGGCTTTGGAGGCTGTCCTGGAATTAGCTCTTGTAGGTTGGTCTCGAACTCACAGAGATCTGCCTGCCTCTGCCTCTCGAGTGCTGGGATTAAAGGTGTGTGCCACCACCGCCCGGCCTGGTTTTCAATGTTTTAAAATGGAGTCTCTCATGGGCCTGGGGCTCAAACATTTGGCTAGGCTGTCTGGACAGCCTGAAAGATCTCCACAGTCTCAGAAAGTTCATGGTTTCAGTTAAAATGTATGCGAACATTAACTGGGCGGTGGTACGAGCTTTAATCCCAGCACTCAGGAGGCAGAGGGAAGCAGATATCATGGGCTGCAGAGGCCCTGAATTCTAGCACAGCCAGGGCTACACAGAGAAACCCTGTCTCAAAAACAAACAAACAAACAAACAAACAAACAAACAAACATGTGTGTGAACATTTGAGGCTCGTCTGGAGGGGAAGGCTCTTATCATAGCTTGGATTTTAGGAGTCTCCCAACAGTCCACATGCCACAGACATTTCCTCAGAATGCTATTACCAGAAAGTGACAAAAGCTTTATGAGGTATACTCTAGGAGGGGTCACCTTAGGCAACTGCGGTGTCCCTTGAGGGGATACCTGGAGTCTGGGTCTCTTCTCCTCTCTTTCCTTTTGTGTTCTGACCACAGAATGAGTTCCACCATTAGAATCTGCCGCCACTTGGCCCAAACTCACAGGCCAATCAATATCAGGCGGACCCTCTAAAACCATGAGTAAGGTATCTTTTGTTGACTGGTTGATTATTTCAGATCATATTGTAGTATCAAAAAACTAACACGGATCTACAGCCTTAACAGGACTCGTCAAATAGTGCACAGACAAGTTAGGGAAGCTAGTGGCTGGCAGGGAGGGGCCTGAAGTTGATGGGCCTAACAGAAGACTCTTAGGTATGACTAAACTCTGGCCGAGAATCTTTGGCCATTGCAACACGGTTGTCTTGAGGGGGCCCCTGTACCGCAGACACTCAAGTTCTCTTCCACTGGGCTGAAAAACTCAGAACTCTGTATTAACCCCCACTTAATAAAGTGATAAGCTACAGCCCACCAACAGGTCACCGTCCGTTTTTAACATTTCCTTCAGACCATGTTTAACCAAGTTGGCAAGATGGCTCAGCAGGTAAAAGTGTTTGTTGCACAAGCCAGACAACTTGAGTCCAATCCCTAGGACTCACCTGAAATAAAGAACTACTCCACAACATTCTTCGACCTTCACAGGCATGCCCACCTGCGGTATCACACACACACACACACACACACACACACACACACACACACACAAAATGCACACACACAAATAATTTTAGAATGTTTTTATTTTCTTGCTATTGTATAACTGAAAAAAAAAACTTTTGGTCGGGCAGTGGTGACGCACGCCTTTAATCCCAGCACTCTGCAGACAGAGGCAGGCGGATCTCTGTGAGTTCGAGGCCAACCTGGGCTACAGAGCGAGTTCCAGGACAGCCTCCAAAGCCACAGAGAAACCCTATCTCAAAAAATAATAAAATAAACTTTTAAAATTTATTTTACATGTTTGGGTGTTTTGTCTACATGCATGTCTGGCCACAAACCCAGAGATCTGCCTGCCTCTGCCTTGTGAGGGGCGGGATTAACGATGTGTATTACCATCTACCCGATTTTTTTTATTTGTTTTTGGAGCTAGGTTTTCTCGGTGTAACCCTGGGTTTCCTGTAACTTGCTCTGTAGACCAGGGTGGCCTCAAACTCACAGAGATCCACCTGCCTCTGCCTCCTGAATGCTGGAATTAAAGGCGTGTGCCACCAACACCCAGGTAACTTCATTTTATTAGACATGCTCTAGTTATATAGCTCTGGTTGGCCTGGAACGTGGTATAGAGACCAGTCTGGTTTCAAACTCAGAGATCCATACTGAGTTTAAAGGCAAGTCCTAAAACACCTGACCATTAATTTCATTTATAAGAGGAAGTGTAAAGTGAATGGAGGTTCCCAGTTTGGCCACAATGAAAAAATGACTGTTGGTGGAAATGAAGAGAGCTGCAAAAGGGAAGCAGAACTTCCCAGAGATGGGTGGGATAAATCCCAGAAGTTGAGATACTCAAAAATTATTTCCTCAAAATGACTTCAAAATGCCCTTCAAATTGTTGGAATTTTAAATCCCCAAAGTCTGCATGTTAATAGGATTCAAGAGGGGAGACCTTTGGAAAGTGATTGGGTCCTGTATAGTTTGGATCTTCAGAGGCCCTTAAAGGTCCATCAGTGTATTAATGGGCTATAATGTAACTAAAGTGTGTTCTCTTGGGCTCTCTGGTCCTGCCTTGTACCAGGCCCCAGAATTTTAACTCAGCACATAGACAGCATCGCCTGCCAAAATGGAAACAAAGACCTAGTCCACCCATCAAAGTCCAGAGTCCGGGGAAGGACTCAATCTCCTCACTTGCTCTTGGGCTTCTGTAGTCCCACTTCTGGCTAGCTGATCTTGTTAGTTGAAGTGGCTGGGGAGTGATGGCGCCACCTTTAATCCCAGCACTGGGGAGGCAGAGGCAGGCAGATCTCTGTGAGTTTGAGGTCAGCCTGGTCTACAGATCAAGTTCCAGGACAGCCTCCAAAACAATACAGAGAAACCCTGTCTCGAAAAACCAAAAAACAAACAAACAAAGCAACAATCAAACAAACCAAACAAACCACTGAAGTGTATCAACCCAGGATACGGTTTCTCTGCTTAAACGCTCAGTGCAGTCACTGGCTAGCTAATGAAGACCTCCTATGGGCTTAAACCCACGTCTGAGCAGTCTTCTCTAGTGGCTACCCCACAACAGCCTCGCCGTGTTACATCTTCCTCTGCTAGGATTCATCAAGATGTCAGTACCTTGACAGTGGACTTCCCAGCCTCCAGAACGCTGCAGTAAGTCAACTGCGCTTTGCAATTACTGGTCTGTGTTCTTCAGTTACAACCACAGAAAATAGGCTGACACACACACCCACCTCCAACACCAGGACGATAACCAGGGATAGTCGGTCTAGGAACTATGATAAAGAGTTTGTGGGAAATCCAGGAACCAGGCATTTGCAGATTACCCCAAGCTAACAGAAATAGCCTTCCTGCTACCACTCTGCAGACGGATTTTTCTTTGGGCTGCCAGATCACAAATAACAACACTGAGACTTTTTTTTTTTTTTTTTGGTTTTTCAAGACAGAGTTTCTCTGTATTGTTTAGGAGACTATCCTGAAACTCGCTCTGTAGACCAGGCAGGCCTCGAACTCACAGAGATCCACCTGCCTCTGCCTCCCAAGTGCTGGGATTAAAGGTGTGTGCCAACACAGCCTGGCTCACAGAGACATTATTAATTATGAAAGCTCTGTCTCAGCTTTTTTTGTTTGTTTGTTTGTTTTTGTTTAACATAGGTGTTTTTGCCATGGATGTCAGGTCCCCGGGAATAGAATTACAGACAGTTGTGAGCTGCCATGTGGTTGCTGGGGCTTGAACCCTGATCCTCTGGAAGAGCAGCCAGTGCTCTTAACTGCTGAGCCATCTCTCTAACCCCTAACTAGTTCTTATAACTTAAATTAACCTGTCTTCCCCCGCCCCCAACAGGGTTTCTCTGTGTAACTTTGGAACATGTCCTAGAACTCGCTCTATAGACCAGGCTGGCCTGGAACTCACAGAGATCTGCTTACATCTGCCTGCCTCCTGAGTGCTGAGATTAAAGGTGTGTGCCACCATGCCCAGCAACTCATGTTTTTTTGTTTTTGTTTTTTTAACCTGGCTTGGTTACCTTTACTTATCTTTACTCCGTTTTTTATTACACCAATCCCAGCAACACATCTTCACAGTGCACAAATAATATCACTCTTCACATGTAAAACTATCAAAGGTCTCAATCCTAAATCTAATTTCCGAGCCTGGTCTTCCTTAAGACCGAACCTGCCTAACTTGCTAATTTTCCTGGAACCCCAGAGCCCCCTCCCCTTTCCTCTCAAGCCTCCTCTTCCTCACGGCTACACAGAAGACAGTGTGCTGACTATATACCTCTCAACTCCAAATGCCCTTCCTCCTCCTCTTCACCGTTACCTGTCATCCGTTCCTCCCCACGGCACAGTTGAGTGCCTCGCTTCCCATAATTTCTGGTGTGTCCCAGGCACCCCTCCCTCCATACTCAAGCATTAAAGCACGAATCTAGTCTCCAGTTGTGTAAGCACCTCTTGTCCCAAATCGAACAAGACACGCCTAACTCTCTTTTGGTTTGCTGGCGAATGATAATCCGTTGGATCTAACCGTCTGTGAATGGTTCACCATGCGGGTGTCTGGTGGTCCGCCTGGAAAGGGAAAAAAAAAAAAAAAAGCAGTCCAGATGATGCAAAAAACAAAACAAAACATAACCGAACATCGCACGCAAACCAAACGCATTCCAGGCCAGCCAGGACTGCCTCTAACAAAGCTAGCTAACGGGCGGGACGAGAGGAAGCAGCCGTCCCTGGATCTGCTCAGCGCCGCGGACCGGGATCCACCTCCGGGGCTCCGCCCGCACTCACCCGACCGCCTTCCCCAGCCCGGGTGAGCCGCGGGACAGCCCCGCCCCTCCCCGGCGGCGTGCGGCCTTGGCCACGCCTTAGCCACACCCCCTACGAAAGGGAGCCCTGTGATTGGCCCAGACCCGCCTTAATTTGCCCAATCGCGGCCGAGCGGGGAGCTTTTGGCGTCGGTGCGTACGCGCGAACATGGCGGATCGGCTCACGCAGCTGCAGGACGCGGTGAACTCGGTGAGGGAGGGCTCCGTCCTCGGTCCGCCCGGCCTTCCCTTCCCTTCCGGCCGGGCGGGCGGACGGTCGGGCAGGCGAGCGGGGCCGGGACGCGGCCGGGGGGGGGGGGGGGTGGTGCGCGCTCGGGCGGCCGGGGCTCGGGGAGGCCGCGGGCGGGGTCTGGGGACCGGGCGGCCTGTCCTGTGCTGTCCCGGGGAGCCTGCGATCCGCCCCGGGGGAGGGGACTCAGGGCGCCCGCCGCCAGGTAGCGGGGAACCAGTGTGCTCGGGTCCCGGGGCCGGGCCGGCCCGCGCTCCAGCGTGAGCTCCCACCTCGGGAAACCACAGTTTGCGGGTCGGCGGAGAGCGCCTGGGGTGTGGGCTCGCCCCGGCTCCCGCGGGCCGCAGCCATCGCCTCCTCCTCCTCCTCCTCCTCGGGCCTCCCCAGCCGGTCCTTGGGGATGGACAGCGGCTGCCGGAGGAGCCCGGAGCCTTCCGTTTGCTCAAGCCGGCCCTCGCGGGTCAGAACGGAGCTCTCCCCGCAGCGCAGGGCCTCGCATGACCTGGAAACCACTGTGGAGGGAGACCCGGCTGTCGGTTAAAAGTAAGAAGTAAAATAGACAGCCAGGGAATCATAAAACCTATAACAGAGGCTCCTGAAAGCTGCTGGCTTCGGTAACCTTGTCCCCTCTGGCTCTTAACCCTTGCTTACTAGACGTGAGTTGTAACCACGCACAAGCCAAACAGAAGTTAGCCACGCCTTTTCTGTGTGTCTTTGTTTTTGTTGTTGTCTTTCCAGACAGGGTTTCTCTGGGTAGCTTTGGAGGCTGTCCTGGAACTAGCTCTTGTAGACCAGGCTAGCCTCGAACTCACAGAGATCCGCCTGCCTCTGCCTCCCGTGCTGGGATTAAAGGCGTGCTGCTTAGCCACGCTTTTAATCCCTTTTAATCCCAGCCCTCTGGAGACAGAGGCAGGCAAATATGAGTTTGAGGCCAGCCCCCAAGTGAGTTCCAAGACAGCCAGAGCTGTGTAGAGACAGATCCTGACTTCCAAAAAAGGTTAATTAATTAATTAATTAAGTGCTTCTGCTTATTACCATTAAGAGCATAACACTTTAACATTGGTAGTTAAAATCTCCGTGTCACCCTGGTTGTAGTTTGTTCTAGGTAAGGTGCCTGCAGAGTGTCTCCCTACTGGGGGAAAGAAAAAATCCAGTCCCTGGCCAGTGTTTTTCTTACAGGAAGGTCATAACTTGGCTTCTTGGTGATACATCTCTTTGAGAGATTGTGAATCTACTTGTGGGAAAACTGCCTACTCTGTGTAAATAAAGTAGTTTTTAAATTGAGGAGCTATCCCTTAAATGTTGGTGAAGTCACCAAGCTAAATTCTGCTTTGCAAAGATTTCCCTGGGCTGCTAGCCAACCTCTCCCAAGAAAGTACTCCTTTGAGATTTTAAAAATCTTCATAGTGCAGTGTAGGAGCTTATCTCAGAGAAAAAAATGCATCTTCTGTGTAGGTCCTGCAGCCAGGGTGGTAAGGGTGCCATATGGTCTTGACTTATCTTAGGAATACTGATAATCTAGCTAACTGTGTCTATAGGCAATGTGTTTACAAAGAGCTTAGAAAGATGCGGTAAACTCGAGACTTTCAGATGACGAAACCCCATTCATGGCTAGGGAGTTAGAGTAAATTGTTTTCAGCTCTTGCATGTTAAAGTAGATTGGAGCATAGTGCAGTATTAACATTGGTTCTGCCATCTGGAAACTCCCAAGTGCAGAGGCTGTGTCATGTTCATCTCTATATTATATACAGTACTTGTCATGGGGTTTGCTTTTCAATAAACATGTTTTTTGAACAGATGAACAATGGGTCTTGAAAACATTTGCAGGACAGACCGCAGTAGCTACTGTATCGAATAAGTTTCATTTGTGTTTTTCTTTGTCTTAAGACAGTGTTGCAAAATAGAATGCTGTAACTTAAAAACAAAAAGTCAACTCAGGTTAGCTTTTTAATGACAACTCAAAATTTTGTCATTGAAATAATGACAGCAAAATAATAGAAATGCTATTTCTTGATTGGAAGTAATAATTGAGGTCAGGGATCAGGATTAGTGAGAAGTTGGGTGAGGGGAATACATGTGTTTAGTTTGCAGATGGTGTGAACTTGTGTTTTCAGATTACTTGAATACATTGTTATTTTTAGTTTTGCCTTTTTTGAGATAGAGTTGTCTTATGTAACTGTGGCTGGCCTAGAACTCTCCACAGGGACCAGGCTGGCCTCAGCCTCCCAAGTGCTAGGGTGAAAGGTATGCACTACATGCCCCAGCAACAAATACACTTTGAGCAATAAGATTACAATTTGAGTCTTGAGGAATTACATTTCTGATAACTTACAGTAAGAAATTTCTTCATGTACTACAGGCTGGCCTGGAACTTCCTGTGTAGTTGAGGATGACCTTGAATTTGTGTTCTTGCCTCCTGAGTACCAGAATTACATGTATGTGCTGATACTCCTAGGTTTCTGTTTCAGTGCTGGGGGTCCAATTCAAGGCTTCACGAATGGGGCAACCTACCAACTGACTATCCCTAACACTCCCACTATTTCTTTATACTTGGCAGCTGCTCTGTTCACAGACAAGAAATCATGTGCTTTGTACACTGCTTTTTTGTTGTTAACCTTGGGAACATAGTACGTGTTAGATTTAGTCAATCCCACAACTACTGCCTTTTAAAGGTACTTATTTTGCTTGAAATAAGTATTGGCATATATTTTATATCAGTACTTAGAAAAGAAATAAAGATTATTCTAGTTTTTTTTTCCTTTTTTTCTTTTTTTTTTTAAGGGCAGGGTTTCTTGTGAAACAGCCCTGACTGTCCTGTAACTTGCTCAGTAGACCAGGCTGGCCTGTAACTCACAGAGATAACTCCCATTCCCCCCACCTCTTCTTCTGAGTGCTGCAATTAAAGGTGTGTGCCCACTACCACCGGCTTCTGGTTTATTGTTTAATTGAGACATGTAGCCCAGGTTGTCCTCAAACACTGTTGAGGTTATCCTTGAAATTGTCATTGTCCTGCCAAGTGCTGGAATTACGGCTGTGTACAGCGCTGTAGATCAAACCCAGACCTTCACGTGTGCTGTGCTCTACCGACTGAATGCTGTGTTTCTTTGCGTGTGTGGTTTAAGCATGTGTGGGTGTTTGCAGTTCACTTACCTGTGCATGCTTACGTAGAGGCCAGAGTTGTCTGAGAGTGTCTTGTATCATTTTCCTTGTTTTTTTGAGCAAGGTCTCTCAAAAGCTCGTGTTTTCAGATACACCAGATGATTGGTGTGACTGCAGGGTGCAGGGACCCAAATTCAGGTCCTGGTGGTTGCATAATACTTACTTAACCCCTGTGTTTTTGTTTGTTTGATTTTGGTGGGTTTTTTATTTGTTTGATTTTGGTGGGTTTTTGTTTGTTTTGTTTTTCGAGACAGGGTTTCTCTATATTGTTTTGGAGCCTGTCCTGGAACTCACTCTTTAGACCAGGCTGGCCTCAAACTCACAGAGATCCACCTGCCTCTGCCTACCGAGTGCTAGGATTAAGGCGTGTGCCACAAATGCCAGGCTTGATTTTGGTTTTATGTATTAGCATATGGGACTGGAGAAATGGGTCAGCAGTTAAGATAAGAATCTACCTGCTCTTTCAGAGGATTGGGATTTGACTCCATCTAAAACTCCAGTCCCAGAGGATCTTGATGGCCTGTATGGGCAGTAGGGGTTGGCAAAGTAAATTAAGATACTTGCCACTTAGGTCTAACACCCCAGTTTTGAACCTCAGGACCCACGCTGTAGAAGGAAAGAACAGACAGTCATTCTTGCAATTAGAATAGAATTTGTTGTCTACCAGTCCAACCACTTTGGTATCTTAGGATGTGTTTGTTGAGTTACGATTTGAAGGAGTCTTTTTTTTTTTAAGTGTATGTTTTTGTTGCATATGTTCCTGGGTACCACATGGGTGTCTGGTGCTCTCAGAGGACCAGAAGAAGCCATCAAATCCCTTGGGATTAGAGTTAGAGTTGTGAGCTGTGGATTCTGGGAGTTGAACCCAGGTTCTCTGCACAAGCAGCCAGTGCTCTTAAGCACTTGGTGTCTGTTTCTCTGTTGCAGTTTGTTCGTCTGCCAGGATGGATATCTGGTTTATTTGTGAGCAGCCTTCTCTTGAGCACTCAGTCTCCAGAAACTTTCAGAGAGAAGATAGCAATCACTTCAGCTTTCTCATGTATCAATTCTTTAGGCTACATTGATACCAAATTTAATTTCACCTAGACTGATACCAGACTTAAGTTACTTTGTTTGATTAAACCATTTAATTCAAGCTAGATGTAAATAGATTGCTGGTGAGAGTGTAGGATTAGCTGTATAAAGTCAGTGATTGTAATAACTGGCTCATTTTATGTAAAAATATTCCTCTGTGTGAGTTTGCTTAGAGATCATTATGAAGAAATTGTTGCCATATCTCATAAAATCCATAAAATTGACAACTCTTTGTAACCATGATTTTTTTCTTTCTCTTTTTTTCAAGCTTGCAGATCAGTTTTGTAACGCCATTGGAGTGTTGCAACAGTGTGGTCCTCCTGCATCTTTTAGTAACATTCAAACAGCAATCAACAAAGACCAGCCTGCCAATCCTACAGAAGGTGAGGTCTCCTTAGTTTGACTAACGCTTCTTCTACAGTGATAGTTCCTCTGTAAAGCGACTGTGATTGGAGTGCATTACTGTAAATTTTTCCATGAATGATACTTTAGCATCTATTTACTTGGTGTGTATGTGAGTGCCTGCTATAGTAGAGTGTAAGAGGTCAGAGGATCTGGGGCTGCTCTCGCCTCTCCCTGTGGATTCTGGGGATCACACTTGGGTCCTTGGACTTGGTGGCAAGTGCCCTCCATGTGGGATGTCATTCGTTGATGAATAAAGCTGTTTCGGTCAATGGCCAGGCAGAATATAGCTAGGCGGGAAATCCAAACAAAGCTGGAGAGATGACTCAAGTTGACAGCACTGGCTACTCTTCCAGAGGTCCTGAGTTCAATTCCCAGTAACCACATGGTGGCTCACAACCATCTATAATGAGATGTGGTGCCCTCTTCTGGTGTGCCTACATGCCTGAGCACTGTATACATACATATAATAAATAAATAAATAAATCTTAAATGATACATAGACTAGTAAAAATGGGTTAATTTATATGTAGAAGTCAGTAAGAAGCCAAGCAATTATAATTAATATTAAGCCTCTGAGTGGTTATTTGGGAACTGGCGGGTGAGACAGAAAACATTCAACTACATGCCGTTAGCTGCAAAGCTATCTCATTGGTCAAGGAATGAGTTTATCAGCTCAGTTCATACGCCTCATAATTCTATTCACATCAATAAGATTGTTAGTCCCTTAGAGGAGAGCTTAAGAAGAATGAATTTTCTGTCCACCTGGTCCCTCAGCCCTTTAGTCCCAAGTAAACACACCGAGGCTTATATTTAATTATAAACTGTATGAATTGAGTTGAGTTTTGCTTGTATGACCTTAGCAAGAAAAGTGTCTCATTTATGAATTCTTTTGCTCAAGGTACCAGAATGTTGTCCTAGTAAATAAAATGACATCAATGTTAAGTATATATATATAGTACTGATATACTAAAATAATACTTTCACCATTAGAATTATTATGTTGGCAAGTTAGCTGAGCCTTTCTAGTTTTATGACTTTATAGTGTGCTTATGAAAGTGTAAGGCTCTGATGAGGTAACTGAGTGTTTTTTTGTTTTTTTCAGAGTATGCCCAGCTTTTTGCTGCGCTGATCGCACGAACCGCGAAAGACATTGATGTTCTCATAGACTCCTTACCTAGTGAAGAGTCTACAGCTGCCCTACAGGTGAAAACCTGTTCTTTTCATCAAAGTTACTAGTGGGAGAGGACTTTGAGTTAAAGGAGGTTATGGCATTCAAATTAGGACTAAATTTTAAATGGGAGGTATTTTGGGTATTGTTTGATTATAGGTTGGTTTTTGTTTTTTTTTTTTTTTTTGCTTGTTTTGTTCTGTGGTCAAATCCAGGGTCTCACATAGTAGGCATACACTTTACAGTTGTGAACTAGCACAACCTCAGGAAGACTGTGCTGAATAGTCGTCTGATGGTGACTTAAAAGATCAGATCATGTGGGTTCCAGCAGTATTGACACTGAGCAATTTAATCTTAGGCAAAGGTCTCTTCATGCCCCTCACACTGTTTGACCAGAAGAGTAAGTGGAGAATGTCATACTGATTGTGGGACAAAGCAATGTCTACAAACAGCGTACAGGCACACACCTGTCCATTAGTCTTCTGGGCTGGAGAGGCGGCTCAGGGGCTAACAGCACTGGCTGCTGCTCTTCAGAGGTCCTGAGTTCAGTTCCCAGCAATCACATGGTGGCTCACAACCATCTAGAATGAAATCTGGTGCCATCTTCTGGCCTGCAGGCATGCATACAGGCAGAACACTGTATACATAGTAAATAAAAAAATATCTTCTTAAAAAGAAAGAAAATTAGTCTTCTAATAAGGCATAGAGAAAGATTAGATATTTAGAATACCTGTTACTAAAGACAAAACAATGATTGGAAATCCATTCTGATTTTAAAATAAATACTTGTACTTTAGTTTCTGTGCATCCCATCTATGAGCATGTTAAATCCCTGTCCTGTGAAGGCTGCCAGCTTACACAGGCTAGAAGTCTGTGCATTCCATCCCTGAGCACGTTAAATCCCTGTCTTTCTTATAAAGGCTGCCAGCTTACACAAGCTAGAAGAAGAAAATCATGAAGCCGCCACATGTCTGGAGGACGTTGTTTACCGGGGAGACATGCTTCTGGAAAAGATCCAAAGTGCACTTGCTGACATCGCACAGTCACAGCTGAAGACCAGAAGTGTCACCCATAGCCAGTCTCTTCCAGACTCGTAGCGTCAACAGAAACAGGTGACAGAAAGAACTGTTTGAAGGGCACTAAGAGTGCGCATCAGATATGGCTGTCAGCCCTCCACAGCTACGAACGAACATCATAGGCTATGACTGTGTTTCCTTTTTAACTAGTTTTCACTCTTGATATTAAGAAGCTTTAAAATTGCAATTGCAATCGAGTCATCTTCAAACATCATTATGTCATTTTTTTATCTATCTGACTAGAATTTTCAAGGTAGATACTGTACTAATGCTCGTGATATAATTAAACAGCTATACAATAAAGCTCTTTGATGTTTTGTATATGTTGTTTTTCTTTTGTGCAGTACGGAATGAAATCCAGGCCCTGTGTGTCTTGTGTATGCTAGGTAAGCACTTTGTCACTAGGCCATATTCCCTCAGATCTGACATCAGTTGTATGACTGCAGCCTTTCCACAGATCAGCAAAGCCTTAAAGGCAGGGATATAGGACATTTCAATGTAGATAGGTGTCCTTAAAGGTGGCACCATATAAGTTTATATCTTTGAGCAAAAGAGTTTTTAAGAAACAATTAGAAAGCTGGGCGTTGGTGGTGCATGCCTTTAATAGCAGCACTCGGGATGCAGAGGCAGGCGGATCTCTGTGAGTTCGAAGCCAGGCTGGTCTACAGAGTGAGTTCTAGGACAGCCTCCAAAACAATACAGAGAAACCCTGTCGAAAACAACAACAAAAGAAACAATTATAGCAGATAGGAAGTAGACAGTCATCTGAAAAGCTTTCATCCAGAATGTCATACATTTTAGTGTGTAACACGATTAATACAAACCCAGAGACTGATAATTGGGGTTCAGGCTTCAAGCTGAAGATCAGAAAAGTAAAGCAGCCGGCCACTAACTCTTGCCTCTAGCTCAGGTTGAAAGGGCTGATCACGAGCTCTCCACCAAGTCTCAACTGTCCCTCACCGCAGCTGGAGAGTAAATCTCCAGATGAGGCCCTTGGCTTTTTCCTTTGTTTTGTTGTTGTTGTTGTTGAGAACCACTGAGCTTGGGAAATAAATACAGCCTTGTGGTTAGGGAGCTAGACATTAACCTTTCCCTTTTCCCACTATGGTCCTTGGTGAAATTCAGGTTCCTTGGAGACCACTGTTGGAACAGTCTGATAGCTGAAGGGAGGAGCACAGTGTCCCCATCCCCAATATCTTCGCTCCTGCCAGAATGGTTGCAGTGCCAGCCAGAGGAGGAATGGGCTCCCAGGGAGAGACTCCACAGCCCTGATAGCATGTCAGAGCCTTGCTAGAGAAAAGGGAGCCTAGACATGGATGGGTCAGTGATGGGCAGGACCGTACCATGATGGGAACCGCTTAGTTACCGCCCTCAGGAAGATGGGTTGGGGGGTGTGGGGTCCTCATTCGCTCTTCCCAATGTAACCACATCGAACACACAGTCTTTCTCTGCATTTCACTGTTGTCTCTTGGTCTTTGGCGATGGGTAGCCACGCCTGCTGTGGCTAAGGCCGGTGTTCTGACACTAAGAAGCATAAACACCTCAGGTCACTGAGCGCATAAGAGAAAACAGTGGAATCCAGAGCTTAATGAAACAGACTTGTGTCCAGCTAAGGCAGCATTTTATGTCAAAAACCTAAGACTCACTGCTGCAAACCACAGAATGTATGCAGTGAGGGTTTAGCACACACTTCCAGGGCCAACTCATCATAGATCGCTTATCTCCTGGGGAACGCTCCTCATTTAGCAAGGTGAAGAATATTGTTACCAGAGATACCCATCTCATTAGCCTTTTCTGCAAGTCAATAAGGAACACCGCTATTACAGATTTCTTGTGTGAAGAGCTCTTCCCCTTACATTACAGCTTAGGGATTTTTTCCCACTGCAATACAGTGTGTTAATCATTTTCTGGGCATAATTTCCCCTATGCATTGGTATATTTGGATGACTCCCCACAACAATTCGTGATTCCAGCAAGAATGTAATCACAATCAATACCCCTACTCTCTCACACCAGGCCTTTGTATAAACTCAGAAGTCTGCCCCCTGCAGTTATCTTCCTTGGCAGATAGTGTTAGTGCCCAGGCCTAAAAAAGACCTCTAGTGAGACACTCATAGATGCCCAAGGGCAAGAATTATGGCGTATCTAAACTTGTCAAGCTATAGCTTTCAGAGAGATGGAGAAGTGTGTCCTGGATTCTCCTGATAGGGAACCGCTGTCCCAAGCTAACCTCACACTAACCTTAAAGCAAATCTTTAGCTCTTTGTACTTATTTTTACCTTGGTCTATTACCTAGGGACATTTAAGAAAATAGCAAAAGCACGTAATATTCCCTTCCTAGGTTTCCTTAATCTCTCTCTCTCTCTCTCTCTCTCTCTCTCTCTCTCTCTCTCTCTCTCTCTCTCTCTCTCTCTCTCTCTCTCTCTCTCTCTCTCTCTCTCTCTCTCTCTCTCTCTCTCATGTCCTTTCCTTGGAGGCTTTAACCACTCCCACCTTGAGCCATAGAGAGAGGCTGACAGTTACCCCTTTGTGTAAAACTTTTGTCCGTCTCTATGACCCTGAAAAAACTCTAGCCTTGCACCAGGCTAGGGCTGGAGAGACTGGGAGAGATGAGACACGAGAGGTAGCAGCTGGAGGGAGAAGTTGCTAGAAGTTAGCAGGAATGTGAAAGGACAAGAATGTAGGAAAAAATAAGTTCGCAAATGAAGGAGGAAGAACGAAACAGAATTAGAGTAGAGCTAAGGAGTTATAGACAGCTAGGACAGAGAAGGGCGAAGAGAGGACAAGGAAACACGTGGGGTGGGGGGGAGATCCCTCTCTACAGCCCTCAGCCTCAGACCCCGCGCTCGCTGTAGCGCCTCTTTATGGATCCTGAGTGAACACTTTTCAGGCAAAGGACCTTGAAAGTTTTCGGTGATTCACCGTCCTGTTCCCCCTAGGAAAGCAGCTTTAACCTGAGCTTCCCGCTGAGGAAAGAAGGAAGGAAGGAGGGAGGAAGGGAGGAAAGAGGAAAAACAGCATGCTGAAATACCTGTTTACATATATACATGCATGCATACATACATGCATACATACATGCATGCATACATACGTGCATAATATGCATACATTTAGGTATTGTGTATAGAAGGTATATTTGTGTATTTATTATACATGCACATACACCATACATTAAACTCTTACATGCACACACACACACCATACATCAGAGTCAATGATTATGGGCATCAGGGGAGTTAAAATGTTCAGGGGTTAAACAGTGATGATAGCTACACAAATCTCTGACTGTACTAAGAAAAACATTGTATCATTTTAAAGTGTGAACTTTGCATTGTGTGAAATAGACGTAAGAACATTTAAAATTCAGACAGGACATATATATATATATATATATATATATATATATGCACTTAGTGGTTGCTTAGAATGTACAGGGCCTGGGCTTGGGCTCCAGTATTGGAAACCTGTCTGTCTGTCTGTCTGTCGTCTATCTATTGAATCTAACTTACCTATTTATCCATCTGCCATTCATAAATAATACCTATGCCAAATGCATCTAAAACCTTGAGCTTGGGCCCCACACAGGCCCTGAGTGGAGTGACGTTTCCTGATGCCGAGAGAGCCTGTAGCTAGGTTGGTAGCAGTGTCAGAAAGCTGATTTTCTTTGTAACTTAAAATTAGTGTCATGAGCCGGGCGGTGGTGGCGCACGCCTTTAATCCCAGCACTCGGGAGGCAGAGGCAGGTGGATCTCTATTAGTTTGAGACCAGCCTGGTCTACAAGAGCTAGTTCCAGGACAGTCTCCAAAACAATACAGAGAAACCCTGTCTCGAAAAAACAAAACGACAACAAAATTAGTGTTATGATTCTGTTTGAACAAGTTACCATCCCGCAGGCAAGAAACTCATGTACAACGACGAATTTAGTCTCTTTTAAACGTGTCGCCCAGAGTCTGTAGACACATATTCATGGTAAAGACTTTTAGGCCTGCCACGGGAAGGTTAAGCACTAGGACCAAATGCTGTGCCGCTTGGAGCACCCGGCACAAGAAGTTATCTGTGTGCACATACAACTCGAACCCAAACCTCACATTCAATCTGTCACTTCGAGGCAAAGGGCACCCAGTGTGGGACCTGTACCTCTCTGCCAGGACGGCTGTCTCTGAAGCTTTTTGTCAGCATATGTCTGGGGACGTTTTCATCGTTTTGGTATGCTGTTGCCAAGAATGGTGAATGCCATCAATAGAAATCCATGTGACCAGGGTTGAAGAGACGGCTCAGAGGTTAAGAGCACTGGTTCCCCTTCCAAAGGACCTGGGTTCAAAACCCAGCACCCACGTGGCTGCTCACAATAATGAGATCTGATGCCCTTGGCTGGCCTGCAGGCATGCATGCAGACAGAACACTGTATACATAATAAATAAGTCTTTAAAAAAAAAAGAAAGAAATCTATGTGACCACTTGGTTCTGTACCCACTCATTTCATCTACTTTAAATCGTCTGAAGCTTTGAACTCTATCATTTAAAGCATGAAATCTTTGTTTTTGAAATCTAGCAAATTCAAATTTGCTACTTAAATTTTAGTTATTACAGTGTGTGTGTGTGTGTGTGGTGTACATTAATAAATTTTCCACACCCCCCCATAAGTTTCTCTGCCTACAGAGTAAGCCAGATGCAGCCAAACTGAAAAAGTGTAACACCAGGTTTACTGAGCAAAACAACCCTTGGGGGAGTTCACCGCTGCCAGAGATTGAGGCCAGAGAGGCGGCACTCCCGAACTAAGGTGGAAAGACGTTATAGGTCGTAAGCAAGGGGTGATGACGTGTCTGCCACAGGTAAGCTTGTGTCCCAGGATGGTCAAAAGCTAAGCACTTCAGGCGGGGACTCGGGGGGCTGGTGGTATCCGCGGAGGAAGCTGCAGTAGCACTTTAGGCTGGGACTGGGGGGGGGGCGTGGAATCTGCGGAGGAAGCTGCAGTCGTAGCCAAGAACGCGGAACTGGGCTTTTTTGGTGTCTCTCCTTTGTTCAGAGAGTCTCCAAGAAGCCGAGGTTTGGAGAGGGAGAAAGACAGGGATGGGGCTTTCTGAGTGTGCACAGGTGTGCTCACCAGTTTGTGCACTTGTGGAGACCAGAGGTTGACATCAGGGTATCTTCCTCTCTTCTCTACCTCATTTTATTTCACTGATGGCCGAGGCAGGACGTTCTCTATGAATCCAAAGCCAGCCTGGTCTACATAGCAAGCTCCAGGACAGGGAGGGTTACATGTCTCAAAGAAAATGACATTTTTATTTTAATTTTATGTGTGTGAGTGTTTTGCCTGCGT